GATAGAAATAGCATTGGAAGAGAAAAAGAACTTTGGAAAAGCCGAGATTTAAGAACGAATTTTGGGTCCTCGCATGTGCTCCGTCCCCATAGAAGAAAAGAATTCCAAGACGAAATCATCTTGTGGCCACCACCTCAGTCAACCATTCGGGTACCCGTTCCTTACTAGGAATTTCCATTTTTATTCTCCCATTCTATTCTAATTCCTGTCCTTCCTTTCCTCTTCTAGTTATAAGTAGTTTTAAGTTAGTGATTAAGTGTCTCCTTTGTTACGCGAAAGAAGAGTTTAGCTCCACTGTAAATTAAAAGCCGGTGTTGTTTGTTCCCTTTTGTTTAATTAAAGTGAGGAACAAGGAGGTCGGAATCAACGAACCTTTCCTGTATATATGTTCATACAGTAAAATAAAGCACGTCTTATTGTTTTATATTCCTGTCTCTTTGTGAGAATTCATTCATCACCACGTGCTCACCACATATGTTAATTATTATCCAAGGAGTATGCAACATGCATCAATTAATAGAGTAACCGCCTGAGTTACATCTACCATTTGCATTTAAACATTTTGTCATCTACTACCTCTAAGAAACACCATAAACAAACATGGCAACTCCAACAGCAGAGAAGGTATTTTGAGTTCTGCAGTTTGCAAAGTCAGAATAACTTGTTGTGAGTAATCTGCAGGAGCTGTAGAGAGCATGGGAAGATTCTGAGTATTGGATGGACATGTGCCATGTAAAATGAGGTGTATACATTGAGAAACTGTAATGACAAATATGAAACTTGAACAGTTTTCCAACGTTTTAATGTACACAAGAACATTCTCTGATGATAATTAAAATAGAAAAGCCACAGAGTATAAGAACTTGATAGAGCAGATAGATATGAGTATTTAATTATTAACAAATATAAAAAATAAAGGTACAAATAATAAATGAAAAAGACCATTTAAGATAACTGAAAATATGTTTTATAAAAAACATTGCCGGTTTTTATTTCAAATTGTTTTGATCCAATTATAACTAGAACATACAGCATGCATAGTAAAGTCCTTATTCATTGACACGTATAAGCAATGCACAACATATGACACACACAGTAACAAACAGTGGCGCACCCAGGGAATGGGCCAAGGGGCCCCAGCACCTCCCAAAGTAAAAGAAAAAGAAACACTAGAAAACTTTCCTAAAAAAATTTTTTTTCAAGTAAAATTTATTGTTTTATTGTGTTATGTGTTCTATTTCTACACTACTTATGACTTAGCAGTCAAACAAGATAGAAATTTTATTGAATTTGCATTAAAAACTTTTTGTCCATTCAACTTGATTCTCCAAGATTAAATCTTACGTGCATCACTGGTAACAATTGCTGCACAAAGACAGGAAAATGAGATATACTCATGTTGTAAAATAACCATGTGAGAAATGAATAAAAACACAAACAAACATGAAAGAAACTCCCATTTTATCTGTGCTTGATGCGCACGTTAGCATTTCGTGCTTTTTATTCGTATACACAGGATGTCCTTTCGTGCTAAATCAGTTGTGCTCTATGACTTCATAACTGACATTTTTTTCTGTATTATGCATCGTTTTTGAGATGGAGTGCTAATTTCCAAATTTTACAAGTTGAGATACTTCAAGTGCTCTCATCTTTACTATAACTATACATCATGTTTGTAACTGTAGCTATCTGCATTTGTTAGTTATATAGGTGTATACAGGATGCATAGTAAAGTCCCTATATTCTTTGTAGCTGCTGTGTTTAAATCTCACTTTTCTTATCTCAAGAAATCCATCATTTCAATTAACAGCAAATATTTTTTGCCAACAAAAAATCTTAAGGCGTTCAGATTCCAAAGCAATTCACAAAACAGAAAAAAAATCTACCAGAAGCACCATTATTATTGATGCAATATCACACTACTTTCTGTTAGTAATTCTCCCCCTGTATTAATTAAGCTTACCGAGTAGCAATCCTGTAACTTTTTAATGAAAAATAGAAACTATTGTCACAAAAAGAGTTTTTTTGCAATTTTAGCATTTTTAGACATTAAAAAATGTGTCACAAAATAATGAAATGATTAAAAAAAAATTTGAAAAGTGAGAAAATCATTTTGACAGACTTTCAAAATGCCAGACTGCACTATTATATTGCAGGATGACACCATATTATTAAATAGAAACACAAGCCAAGAACTACATATTTGTAAGATCCTTAAAAACTTTTTAAGGTTGGTTGTATTAGCCCACTAAAAATTAATGAAAAGAATACAAAATTAATGACAAGCATACAAAATAAACTAAATTATTAATTTATGAAAACATTGCTAGATGGCTGAGGCAATAAAGGCATTAGCTTGCTTTTTAGGGGAACCTAGAATCAAACCTGGACAAAGAAAAGAATTTTTCGTAGAAGGTCTGTCCCAGATATGTTTGGCACCATTCCTCCTCACCATTTGGTCATCCATATTATATGCCTAGAAAAAAGCTCATATGATAGCCACAGGGCAAAAGCACTTATATTGCTAAATATAATTTATATTTTAAGTGTAAAGTAGCCAAAAACATTGAAAATTAAACAGAATAGTTTGAGCAACACCATTTGATCAACTATTTCTTTTCTCTTAAGCTTAAAATTGGCAAATTAGCCAAAATATTTATGTAGGCCTATTTGCTTTCATTCCTGTGTCCCAACTGAAGTATTTATTTATGTATAGATCCTTATAAAGAAAATAATAACAACATTAGAAAAAAAACATGAATTTATCAATTAATCAATAGTCCTAGCCGAGCAGATGGCATCCTACCACTCTAGTGAACCCGGGATCAAATCTGGATAAGGATGTAACCCAACAAATCCATCCAGATATATTGGGCCCCATCCTCGTTATCTTGCCACCTCACCGTGAGCCTAGCCAAATCCATAATGGGCTTTTTAAAAAAAGTTAATAATAAATATTTATATATTCCTTAACTTAATTTATTGGATAAGAAAACGATTTCTTATAAGAGTTTCTATTTTTATCTAAAGAGAATTTTGTCTGAAGTAAAAGTGTGTGGCGACTTTCCCTCGTTTATTAAACTGAACATCGGGGACTTCCTAAAATGTTGCGTTACTTGCAGGACAACAAAGATAATTGTTCGAGAGTAATTTCAGTGCATACGTACTTATATAATTAATTTCATAACTTTTATAGAACCTTATGCTTATTATATTAAGAGAAAGAAGGAAGTGAACAGTTTATCTAAACATCTTACTAAGAATGGAATTTTTTTAATATGTTAATTATACACAAGACGATTTCTTATTCCCAAAAAAGATAACTCTGTAAAGAATGTTTGAAATCTCATTAATTTACATTTAAAATTTTAAAAAAACGTTTAAAATATGTAAATTATTTTTATATTAAACATTTTAAGATCAATTTGTATAATTAAATGTGTTTAGGTATAATTAATGCATTTAATCTTTCATTATAATCAAACTAAATTACTATTGAAAACAAATTAATAAATAAATATAAAATCAAAGTATTTAATTATATATTTCTAATTTTCAGACTATTCATACTATTATGAAATTATATATTAATTAATTTATAACTCAAACAGTTAAAAAAAAACAAATAATAATTAATTTTTGGGTGTGGTCTTAGTTTACAAATTATGGCCTAAACCAATTTAAATGTTTAGAATGTTTAAGTTAATACAGTTTAACAATTAGATCTAAGAATAGTGATAAAATTAAGTTAATTAATATATAAAATGCATTCTGAAACGTTAGTAATGCTTCGGCTAAGCCACATATAGAATATGGAATGATTTTCTGTAATAAAGTGCTAACCGACCACAATCTATTTAATTAAGGCTTTATTTCTCCAGCCTCAAGCCATAAAATCAGCAAAGTAGAGGTAAAAGCAGGAAGAGAAGTGTTAGTGGCACTCATAACATTGTTTCGAGTAGTGCCGCCCACACCAGTGACCGCCAAGCCGAGACCAATGCAAGCATTCTTTTGACATTTTTTACCAAGACTATCTTCGGAGGAAGCAGTTTCCAAATCATGCATATTCCGTTATACTCGGGTGGTAGAGGTCCCGTTAACACTACAGCATTATGTTATGGTAAATGCTCCGAAGTCCAGTAAGCAAAACCAGCAGCTTCAAATACAAAAGCCGCAGCTTTACAAGTTCCATTTATTAAAATATAACTTAAATATACCACTATTCTTAACAGAAACATTTGAAACTGTACAGCATAATTCCACTCCGTGCAGACATTAACCATTATAATTAACTCTAAAATATTAAATTTATTACCTGATTCGAAACAAATCTAACAATAAAATATACTAGAATTTATTCTAGAGTAATATTCGACAACTACGTTACCACAAAATGTTAAATCTGATTAGAAATATTTCCAAAGCATCTAAAAATATACCGTAATTACCAGGAAAAGAATGTTTACAATAAAATAATCCTTAAATCAAGCATTAGAAATGATTAAATAACATTTACAATTATAAATATTTTAAATTAAGTTAATTAAGTAATGATTGCATCAAATTAGATAAAACTACATTAATGATTAATTTAATTGTATATTATATAATGGAAATAAATGTTTAATTTCTTAAAAAATTAATTCTTTATTCAACAAATCAATTTGCTATTTTTGTATATCCTCAATTGTAACCCATATAAACCTATGGGTGCATAGACACCATTAAGATTTTGACGAACTTTGCGATTATAAAGCATTTTCAGCAGCAAAAAACATTGAATTGCTTTATAAACATCGATTTTACTTCGATTTTCATAGAAAACTGCGGGAAATTTAGTCCGCAATTTTCTCCGAAACTTCCAATTTTCCAATGGGCGTTGGCCGGCCGACGAAATTGTTACTATAATTAACGATTGGCTAATGCTATTTACCATTTAATAAGCTGAAAGTTAAATGCGTTTAATTTCGAGTATTTTTAAGTGGTCAGTGAGATCTTACCTCAATTCTGGATCATCAAATATCAACCTTTAAATGCTAAACGTCTATGCCAACCGGCAAGATGGTGAACCGCTAAACTGAAACTGCATTGGTCAATTGGGTGCGTGACGTCATATTGCAGAAGACAAAATGGTTCATCGTTCGTTTACCGTGTGTATATATCTGGATCGTTTATAGGAAAATAGATTAACTTCAGGAAATTTGTCAATTGTATTAAATATTTTTACGAGTAATAAAATAATAAATCAATTTCCTTAAATAGTTCGCTAACTAAAATTAATGTAATTTACTGCATATATCCTGTATTGTACAGGTGGCGTATATAAAAAAAATGGCTTAATTTTGAGAAATTTCTAAAATACAGTATTTAAGTGTTAATTAATAATTATAATTAATGGCTATTACCGGCAATAAATAGTTGTATTCATTTAGTTTTCCGGTTGGCCGAGACGTTTGAAGTTTCAACCTGTCGCTCTGGAGGATTCCGGTTCGAGTCCGGACGGTCGGGAATCCCGGGAATTTTTCGGGGTAGTCCGTCTCGGATATGTTGAACACTGACCGAACCGATGGGCCATAAAAACGTATAACTTAGTACAGGGCAGAGAGTTAAAAAAGACAAAAACATGGATTTATTTAAAGCCCCGATCACTCCAAGAACCAATCGCTTCATTTTTAACTTACTTTTCAGTAAAAGTTCACAAATTATATAATTATAAATGGTAAATAATAATTTGTAAACACGGATCCTAACGCGGGACGGCTTGACTCAGTTTGAGGTCGGGTAGAATGGATAAACAATGGAGAATGACTCCCCATTACGAACTAGCTTTAATAGCGATGTTGCGGCCGAAACGACAAAGAAAAAGAGCTGTAATGGATCAAGATTCCAATCCGGAATGGCTCAGAAATCTTTAGATAGATTTAATTAATATTACGCGATCTTTTCAAAGATGCAATTAGTTTGGTTCGGTGGGATACGGTTATGCAACACTTGGGCAATCTGCCGTTAAGGGATTTGTCCGGGAGAACTTTAGGTATTAGGCACATGAAGAAAACAAGGAAAATTCCACGTGCGCCTATTGGTGAACCCACGGTTAATTAATGTTTAGTGGCTTATCCATTCTGCCACTTGTGGGCAAGGATCCAATTGACTTTACGTGGGCAGTGTGAAAATGGAAAATAATCTGCTAAGGAAAGGTGCGTCACGGGAGGAGGACCTTCTATGAGGAAACAGCACCTATTAAAGTGTGTTAAAGTACACGGTAAACTCCACACAGCCATCCGTTTCAGAACAATAGTTTTCAAACCTGGCTTTCATACATCCCTGGTTGTTGCAACAAGCTTCTAAGATGCCCCAATATTCCCTGATAACCATTTATTTATTTAAATTTAAATAAATTACTGGGTATTGTGTATGTTGCACGCAGAAAAAGATACCAATTAAGATTGGAAACCACTGTTTTAGTGGTTAAACTGAAGCAATTTAAACGACACAGTTAAGGAACGAGAAAATTAAGGTCAAGAGAATATAAATTATTCACGAACATGGATAGGTCCACCTAATAGTCGATGAAGGGATGAATAATCCGTCCTTCACTGAACCTGTATGAACTATTAAATGGATACCAACCAATACATGAAGAGGTAGATCCTACGTGATATGTAACAGGATGGATTCTCTATCCAGTAATTAAAATATCCACTATAAAATGGACCATACTTTTAGGAAGTGGTCACTCTGAATCCATCGTAAAGTATGAAGACATTTTTATGTATGAAAATATTTTGTTAGTGCTCTAAAATTACATTTTTATCAACCGCATATTCAAATAGGGAGTGGGTGAACTTAGAACCTTACTTTTCGAGTGGATGACGTAATGGAGGATGCAATCATCGCATAGTTTCGCAATGAGGTCACTTCCAACGCTTACGTAACTAGGAAGAAAGTCGAGTTGCCCGTCTTCTCGACTCCGTTAACAACCCAATTATACGGGTGCGGTCCAAAAGTCGATTAACCGTCGTAAATTGCTGTCTTATTCGTATATTTTATTACTTAAAATGTTTTAAATTGAGACATTTCTTGTTCGGGTGTATTCGCGAGTGTAACTGGCAAACCACAACATTGTTAACTGACTTTTGAGCCACCCTGTACATGTTTCTACTTTTAAATATAGAGAATTTCGTAGCAAATTTATACTTTATCGGAAGTTACATATAAGTAAGTTAATAGATAATTTGGAATTGCTTTATTCTACAGAATATTTTAGAATTTTTTAATGTTCTGAGGGGGAATTTCAAAATTAAATTTTCTTTTCTTTGATCAGAAAGCATCAAATTTAACAAGTTTTTAATTAATTAATCATATTAATAAGAATGAACAAGCCCAGAGCTGGGGTAAACTAGTTGTGGCCCCAATATATCGCCCACAACAAGCCCTTTTCCTCTGCCAAATAATGATAGATGAAAAAATGCAAGGCCTTAAAGTTGTCACCACAGTTTATCTACAAAATTTATCAATGGCAAAACTGACTTTGCCATTATTACAGATGCCTTAATGTTTTCATACTTATAGAGTTTAACATAATTATTTAATTTTGATTTTGCTAGTTTAAACAATAAGCTAAACAAGTTTTGCAATATTGGGTGGCAGTTTTGAGCCTTGGATTTCTAAATTTATTATTATATAGTCTGCCTGTTATAAGTTACAGCTTAGGGTCTAAGTTTAAATCTGGCCATTTGTCTTATAGTGCATAATATACAGATTATGTTATTTTGACAATCTGACCCCGGAGTCGGTGCAAAATCGCCAGAGTTTAATAGCTCTTGCCCAGATCAGTGTGTGTGTGATTGGTGGAAGGTGGATGCATCCTGTTAAACTCTGGTGATTTATTACTTTATTTTATGAAATTTTGATGGAAATTTTCTTTAAAATTTCTCAGAAATGTATCTATAATTGTCCATATTTATTTCAAATTATTTTAACTTAGAAATAGTGGGTCATTGGCAGGTTTCTAAAGGCAATTATCATGTCACTTTTAAATGAAAATTAAGTCTTAATTGCTTTTCTTAGATCAGATATCTCATTTCAATTATAATAAAACAATCTTATTTATTTTTCGGTTTAAGAATTTTAATTATTATCTGTTTATTAGAAATTATAATAAATTGCTTTGCGCCAACAAATAATTTATGAAAAATACAATCTTTCTTTTTACTCTTTTTTAATCATTATAATTTAAGTGTGCCACAGAAATTTAATTATAGGTTTGAGTGTGCCGTGAAATAATAAAGGCCGAAAAACACTGATCTAGATGACAATGCTACCATAATTAAACACTTCCAATCTACTTTTGATGAACAAGAATATGCTTATAATCTAAATAAGACTTTTGATGAACATCTGTTCACACAGGTTACATAGCTAAACTGTTTTTCCAATAAAATCAAGATCGGCAGGAGTGAGAAATGCCGACTTAAAAATTTCACGTACAAACCACATTTGAATCGAGATCCTTCAAAATAACAGAAAAACATTGTATGACCATCTAGCAAACTTGGTACCATTGAAAGCAATCAGTAAATATGTCAACTTGTGATAATAAATAAACAGTTTTTTAAGTAAAAACCTTTAAAGTTTGTAAAACTAGCAGTTTTAGTTAAAGTTTTCTATTAAAATGTGAGCAAATGATGTAAATATTTATTGTTAAAACATATTTCCAACCAAAATATTGGTTATGGGAAAAGTTATTAAATAAAATTTGTATTTAAAAAATATTTACAGCAGCATACAAGATAATTTGATCATTTTATTTACTTTAAGACATATTATTATTGTTATGGATACTTAAAAACAGAATACCATCCTGACACAAGAATTAGTCTTGTTTATAGAAAAACAGCAAAACATTTTAAATATATCATATAATGATAAGTTAATATTCATTGTTAGCAAAAAAGAATTAGAAACAAAATGATTTCATACACATTAATTAAATGTGTCTTCGAAGATGATAATTGCAGTCGATATGTACAAACTTGCACTACAAAATTAATAATAATAATTGTTTTTTAAGGAGAAAATCAGATACTCATTTTGAATGTCAATCTAAAAGAAAAAAATTTATTTCTACGTACAAATTTCGATAATTTTTCTTTTTTGTAATGAAAACCAAACTAAGTTATATTATTAATTATTAACTGAATGGTATCTAATGATCTAAAATTTTACAAAGACGCTTATTTCTCAAATTCTTTAAGTATCGAATTTGATTTTCATCTTGATGTAAAAATTAATCCTAAAGAAAGTTTCAAGTTTTCTTCATTTTCGGAAAAACATTTAATTTTTCTGCTACCTGCAAAAATTAAAAGCATTTAATTAATACTTATATTGAAAATTTACTTATTAGATTATTCAAATTATTTTTAGCAACTACTGTTTTTGTGTACTGTACATACAGAATGCCTTAAGTCTGGAATAATAAGAGTTAGGTACATCTTTATTCTTTTACAGGTAAGGCATACCACCAAGGAAGAATGAATTCAAGTTATTTTGATGATGGAGACTGAAGTTGCCAAAGAGTTTAACCAACCGCATCCAGACTTCCCGCCACAATTACACGCAGCAGCCTGGATACGTCTGTTAAATTCTTAAATTCCAACTACAGATCCCTATCATCAAAATAATTTGAATTTGTTCCTCCTTGCTTTACCTGTAAAAATATAAACAAAGATCAGTGTAACTCCTACAGTTCCAGACACCTGGTTTATGGGTGGATATGGAACACTGTATATGTTTCTTCTCCTATATTATGATATATACACACCTTATTCAATATACAAGACATTGGAATTACAATTTCACTAGACTTGTGTAATTTTAGGTTTCATAAATACAGTAGAACCTCAATTATCTGGATTTTCGATTATCCGGATTGTTCAAAATAAACAAAAATTTTACGAATTTGCTGATTTGCACTTGGCAAATTACGATACTGTTTACATACGTGATGGAATGCATAACTTTTTTGTTTCAACATCTCACCCAGTACAGTGGCCGTAAACTCTTAAATATATTTTGTGTCATAATAAAAATATAACTTGACATACATATTTATAAATAATTTATATTCAAATTACATCATTTCTATGACCAAGGGCGGCATAAGGCATGGGCAATGTGGGCCACCATCTATGCCTCGCTGTCCGAAGAGCCTCGCATTTCGAAGGTTTATGCATTACTTAAAAGCTGCGAACACGATGAAAAAATTTTACTCGTCATAAAACAATAAATAGTTTGTCAAATTTTTATTCATAAAAATGCAGTTTCAACTGCTTTTTATTTTATAAAATCCGTCTTCTTGTGCCACCAGAGGGCCTTTTAAACAATAGGTAGTCTGTTAGCGTTGGTTAGTAGTAGTCCAAATTCAATACAAACGTTTGTTTCTTGAAAATTTGATCACAATTTAAATACAGTATTTACTTTTAATATTACCGACATGTCATCGAAAAGAAAACGTGTTGTATTATCATTAAAAGACAAATTAAAGTATTTGTTTCGATTATCTGGATTTTTCCTTATTCGGACTACCTTCATCCCCAATTAGTCCAGATAATCGAGGTTGTACTGTATTTTAAAAATTATTATATATCATTTAAAATGCTTACATTTAAATTACAATGTTAGAAATAGCTAAATGTAACAGTTACAATGTTACAAATGATAGAATTGCATCTTATGCTTATAAATACAGGATGTCCAGATTGAGGCTATTAGTAAAATTAGGCAAGAAGTGCAATAAAAGTAAGATATACAATTTGAAAACAAATTCAAAGATAGAATGTTCTATCTTCTCCAATTTACATAAAATTATAAAATCTTCTCCTATCACATAGAGAATCAACCTATGTGACCTTTCAGCATACTTCTCACAAACAGAAACTATTTCTTCCCCATTTTGTTGGTGTTTTGTAATGGAGGATCCTTGCTAAACACAAGACTTGAAGTTTTACTGCACTTTCTCTTGAGCCAATGCCATTTTGACAAATGCAACTGGAGCATCACAACTAATTTGCATACCTCAATTAATTCCAGGGAAAATGTGTACGGTGCTCTACCTCATGCAACATGTTAAGTGCATTTATCTTTATGCATTGAATTCGGCAGCAATTTAAAATTTATCAGTCAATCCAGACATCCTGTATACTCATCTTACTATTAATTAACATTTATGGGCATTGGCAATGTTAGGAAGTCAGATATGTTTTATATAATATTGTAAGATCAATGATTTTATGGATAATAAAATCCATTTTTAATATAAATTTGTAAGTAAACATCCGTCGCGATAGTTAGAAAAAACATCGCATTGACTCGGATTAAACGACAGCTTTACTAGTAACAAATGGATGGGAAAGATAAGTCCATTGCAAAATGATAACATCCGATTATGAAAGAAACAAAAAGCAACTCCATGACGTCAACGCAAGTCATCATTGAGCTCGCACACCTGCAAAAGTAACCTTTGTGGTTTAAACAACGGATGAACATGTGATCAGATTCCCACATATTTCATTCAAAAGGTGGAGACACCAGGATTTCCAGGCTTTCGTCCTCTGGAAGTTATATCTTAATAGTGGCCATCCTACCTCCATGAAACAGACCCGATCCAGTCCGAGGAGAAGACAGTCAACGGCTACGAATCTTCCATACGAGAGAATGAGCGTCACATCGGATCTCAACTAATACATAGAGATGTATATAGATTTTGTAAACTCTCTCTCTATGTGAGATTTGGGCCTAGATTAGCAAGCACACATATTGCAAACTGCATAAGTAATCTTTGTCACTCTGGTTGTATCTTTGTTATATGTTAATCAAATTATATTGCCATATTTTAGCTATGTTGTATAATCCTTATGTATAGCCTAGCTTTGGATATATATATTAAACTCTTTTGTTATTTGTTAACCTGTAAACCTGTTTAATTCCGGAGATTGGACACCTCATTGACTTATTCACCTCCCTCTCCACTCAATTGTTTAACGAGCCCTCCAAATCTTAATTAGTGTTGAGAATCGTGAGTTAGGACGCGTATAATTATCCTAACTGGTGTCAGTTCCTGACCAGAAGCCACAATCTTACAAGTTGCAGGTTTCTGATAAACTCCTAAGCCATTCAAAGACCCCGAGATCGGGTTCAAACAATTTGTCCAAGTAAGTGGTGAGTAGGGATTGTCCCCTTGGCCCTTGGTTTATCTCACAATATTAATTATTAAAAGATATTTTGGATCAAAAATGATGTTTTTGACATTTTTACAGTATTAATGTCATGACAATATAACAATTATAAAGAAAAAGTATTCTTAGATTATACCTCTTGAACCCTATTTCTGCATTTAGGTGTAAGTTCTTGAAGTATCTGATGTATTACCGAATGTACTCTTAAACTTGATGGAGTATCACTCAATTCTTCATGATCTGTAATTATACCATACCCAAAATACTTTATATATATTAAACATTTAATCACAATTTACATAATGTAAAAATAAATAAATTTAACTATTATTATGCAGCTAACAAAATTTTATCATAATATTTTATTTTACAATTGGATTTAAAAGTGAAAATTGTACTAGTTACATTTTTTAGTTAAAATCAAATTTAAAATGAATATCATTGAAAAAAGATGCAAATATTTATACATTACATTGACCATGCCCATAGGAGTAAAAAATGCCAAAGAAACCAATGGTCCATGTGTCACCCTTTGTGAAATACAGCTCACTGAAATCATTTTGAAGACCCACAAAAATAGGGTAAAATTTAAAAGTGAAAAATCTGGAAATATTTCTCAAAACAATGGTAAAAATCAGCTATTTTCCATTTTACTACAGATGGCTGAAAGCTCATAGAACACAAGAAATGCCATTGCACTGGCGACTTCCAGGTCAAGCTGTGTGTTCCATTAAGATCGTCACATGTTCAACAAGCAGCCTGGTCTAATTTTGGAGGACTATATCTCATAAAGGGTCACACGTAGATAGACCATCAGTTCTTTTTTTACTCTATGGGTAGGTCTATTGCTTTGATAAGGTGTTGAATGCTTCATTCAGAGTTGCATTTGCACCTAATTCATCTTCTAATTTATATGAAGCAAGCAATTTTAAATATTGTATAAAATTATATTTGAAAAATGGAAAGTTTATTATTAATTTGTATTACATAATCATATATTGTTTAAAAATGAAATAGTGAATATAACGATATAAAAAATCACTAGAAAAGAGATGGAATTCAATTATTAATTAAGGGGTTAATATCTAAGATTGTTCTACTTCTGTTCAGAGTTAGAACAATATCAACCAAATTGATTTTTCATCCTGTGTTCAAGGCAACAATTTAATCCAATTCTTTCTAGGTTAATGATCCATTGCCATCAAGATTATTTAGAAAAATACATGGTGTCTGAAAAGTTGCTGAGCAATGAGAAATTTGTAAGTTATAATAAAGCATTGCATACAAGATCCACAAGTCATACACTTTGCGTTTCCATTTTGTGAAAGATAGAACTACTGCTTGCTCACAATGTTCTGGTTTTTGGACTACAATCTTTGAAAGACTTCATTATCAATTGCATAATCTCCCACGGAATCCAACCTGCTAGGTCTCTGGACGTCACTCCCCCAGATTTTGGATCATATGAGAGCAATTTCTGGCATTTGCTGCTGGAGAAACTGCAATATTGTATGTAAAACTTCACTTCCACTAGTATTAGAACTTTACTCAAACCTTTTCCACTACTCAAACTTTTTGGATAGATGCATTCTCTGTAAATCTGTAGTAATGATAATAGCTTGAATCAATTTTGATAAATGATTGATTATTATTTTGAATACTAATATGAAAAGGAATCTCCTAATTTATTAGTCAATCACAATTAACCAAGATTAAACAGCAAACTACAATAAAACAGCCAATCAGAAATCAAGAGATTTCAACTTTATTCTCATTAAATTTTATAATAAAGGAAGTTAAATTTAGAGTCAATATTAATTACTGTATTGACTCGATATAAGATGACCTCGCATATAGGATGAGATGTGACTTTAAAGATCGAAATAAAGAAAATTAAATTTATTATTACAATTCTAATTTTATTTTGTTTAATCACAAATATTAAATAAATGTAAATGCACATGATGTCCTGCAAAAATTATTGGCATTTTAAACTTTAAGGAAAAATCTTGTAAAATCGACAACATAATTTGTTCACGTAAAACTGGACTATTAGGAACCTTTTTTTTCTGCCCCTTAACAGTCGAATCCACTCTCCATCGATTACACTTATGAGTTTCTCTGAATTCTGATTTCCAAATAATCATCTGTTTTCACATGGGAATGGATTAAAACTTATATATCGTGCTCCCATGTGATTTTGGAATTTCAATCTGGAATTCAATTCAAAAGCTTTGCTTTTCCTATTGTTATTCAACTTTACTCCTGACACTATACAAGAACAATTCAAACGACCCAGATAAAATACTTCTGTGTTTAAATACAAGAGAGTAAGCATCCAGTAAAAAATGTGAATACACAGTTAACAAAAATTATTTGCAAAAACGCAAAGAATCTTTCACTCGTACATATAGGATGACCTAGAAATTTGAAGCTGTGATAAATGAATAAAAACCTCATCTCATATGCGAGTAAATACGGTATTTACTTTAACTAATTTATATACAGGTATCCCTCATACAACACAATACTTCTACGACACTGTTTGAAAATTGGGGATATCCCCTGTACAACATGACTTCTAGTTTTGCTCTAACATGGTTTTATAAATTCTCTGTAGAAAATTTCAGTTTTTAAGTGGAAACTTCATTATTCAATTTCTTTTATTCAAGTAAGCACATGTATTGTCTCAAATTTGCCCACGGATTTTAGAATATTGAAATTTTCAAATTATTTTATGCTTTTTGTCAGGTTTATTTTAATGAAAACCAATAGGACAAGGAAGAAAAAATTGCACTGCATTTCCTGTCAACCAGGTGTTGTCATCATTGCTTTCAGATTTTAGCCCTTAAGGTTGTCACTGTGTTTTCTTTTTATAGATTAATCTTTGTATTTACTAAAGTTTAAACATTTTTAACATTTTTTGGTAAGTGTTATTAAACTTTCTTTTAACCATAGGTATTATTTACCTATGAATGATTACTTCATTCATAAAAATGACAAATGAAATACAGTGGTTTCTCAGTACTTGAACAATTTAGTATTTGAACACAAATACTGAAATAAAGTCGCTTAATCCTCGACTGAACAAACATGACTCGCGAGAACAAATTTTTGATTAATAACATATTTTTATTTCCTCATCCATAAAAATACACAATATGAAAATGTTGCTAATACATCTGATTGAGAACAATAAAAGCAGAGATGATGACAATACTTTGTAAAAAGAAAATGTCCTCATTTAACTAAAATTAATATTAATGTGTCATACAGTACTTTTAATTGTGATTGTTAATTAATTATTGATTGCTTTAATAAACATATTTCTCTTAGCAATGAAAAAGAATAGTATACTTTTGCTAACTTCTGGAACATAATCATATTACATTAGTCCTTTGTTTTGTATAGCATGGATTTGTATAACATGACGCTTTTTCAGAACATAATTACTGTGTTATATGAGGGATATCGGTATTAATAATAAATTATTGTAATTTTAGCTGGTAATGAAGATAATAAAATTGCATAAGTCAGCTATACACAGTGTATAACATAGATATCAATACCAGTTTATATTGTTTTCAACAAAAATTATTTGTTTTAAAATCAATTTTTCAAAAATATTTCTTCAAAAAATTGATGAAAACTTTATGGGTTAATTCTACAGAAATAACCACCATTTTTTTGCCTGGACTGCATTTAATCAGAGACAATAGCTTATCTTCGTATTCTTTATTTCCTTACTTAAGTAAGTAAGTTAAGTAACCCATGAAGTTTTCATCAATTTTTTGAAGAAATATTTTTGAAAAATTGATTTTAAAAGGAATATAAAGAAAACTGCACCATGGATATATATATAATATAATATATATATATATATCTATTGCTTATAACAAAAATTATTTGGGTTTTCACTTGACAAAACTTTGAATTTTGGAACAGTCTTAAAAACACAAGCCTTTTTATGATCTAGTGTTAAAGAAAAGTATGTTTGTATGTAGTTAAACTCTAGTAAAAAGAAAAATTTCTTATAAACATAAAGGTAACATGATAATGAGATAATCATTGCTATAATGGCCATTATTCAGTCATTCTAAATAATAAAGTAAAAAAAAAAAAACGAACAATCTCCCTAATGTTTTACAATTTAATTTTTTTACTATTTAATATTTTGGTTTGAACAATATATAATTACCAAGTTCATATGAAAAAATGGGATAACTTCCCTAATGTTTATTTTTTAATGAGAGACACCAACATATGAGCTAAGTTTAATTTTACTCATGAAAATTGATAAAGAATAGACCCTAATACATCCAGATCAGATAGTCCCTAAAAAAATTCCCAAAGTTCAATCAGTAGGTCAAGCTCTTAATAGCAAGCAAAAGCATTTGATTTTCAACTGAGTAATTGATGTACTTGACTTTAACAATAAAAGTGTGGAGTTGCAATAAATTGTAGTTGTGTCAGCCTGTTTATGTTAGGAAACTAAAAAGTCAATTTTTGCAGAAATGACAAATTCAAATCACGTATGTAGGGTTTTAATCTCTTATTATGGGAAAGTATATGATCATTAGTGGTATGAGAAAACAGATAATCAACTATTTTCTTTTAATAATAAGTTTCAGTTTAAGTAATTATCTCATCTACACTTAAGTTTTACTTCAGTATAGATTGAAAGCAAGAGAACTTATGAATCGAGATGCCTCCAAGTATAAATGGACCGAGTTGAATGAAGCAACCCAAGTTCTTTGGAGCTCAAAAGAAGTATTCCAGATGCATATGCAGCAAAATTGGATTATTGTTGAATTTTAAAATGATAACAAACTACATCCACTTTCCTCCATGATTCAAACCAGGTAACAAAAATTGCTTCTTTATTTCTATCAAGAGACAATTCACTGGGTGCTGAAAGATTTTTGAGCTAATCAATGAGAATGGAAACCTATCTTGGTCAGTTAATTTAATTGAAACTCTCTAGACTGATTCATAGAAAGTAAGAAGGACAGAGACAACTCTATTTTTTGTCTACATACTTTGATGTAATTCTTTTCTAGTCTTTCCATTTGACTCAAAAATCAGGCATCCCCTCAGTCATTCTTGCAACCTTTGTTGATGGACAGTCAATTCACCTCTCCTTTTGATTGGATTCTCAAACTATCACTAAAAGATTACAGAGGTTATCCAGAATGAACAATCTTCTCAAGAAATTATTCTTTCACCTGTCTTTCTGATTACATTTAGCGTTTCAACATCCTATTACCAAGTTTGTGTAAACAATTAAAAATTTGACCAATATATTTAAGATTTTGTGGTTCATAGTATCCATCCAATGTAACATAACTTGGAATTTTCTTTCTAATCAACCTTATTTTTTAATTTGATTTTTGATGTTTGTATCCACACGAGTCATTAAATTCTTGACTATCTGTTCCATGCAAATTCCTTGGCGTTGTAATGGGATGGACAATTCAATTTAAATAAAATTCCTAAAATGATTTATTGCTTACAAATTATAATATATATTATAAATAAGTGTATTTTAATGTAAAAATTATTATAACAACATACTTGAGTGTAAATAAGGATGCTGTAGCAACTCTTCTATTGAAGGCCTTTTATATGGATCTCTTATTAAACAGCTCTACAAAACATTAAAAAAAATTATTAAATTATTTTTATAACAATTCTGAAATAAATGGTAAATCATAATTAATTTTTAAAAATTTTTGACATTAAAAATGAAACATTTTAATGTCATTTTCATATTAAAAGGATGTTTCTCCCATTTGATAACATTTTACTTCCTTAATATTTCTGATTTACAGAGATTTCTTAAACTCTGGACTATTTTAATTTATCAATACTTTTAGAAAGAAGTCTTACATTAATGGAAAATAAAAGAAATATAAATAGACATAGTATTTGCTTAATTATAAAATAACTGTTATAAATGGACAAGTCGAAAGGCCCAATGCAGGCATCGGGGCATACTAAATTACAAAGAAATATAATAATATACTGAGTATTATACTGTAAAAATATAAAATAAATATAAAATAATTTATATTGTTAATTTAAATAATAGCTAGGGACACTCCTAATGGCCGTTTTTGGATTACCGTGACAGAAAATGCCCAGTTTTTCAGCTTTATATAGTGGATTATACCAGTACAGTAAAAAGTCCAAGGTTTGGTTGTAATGCAGCACTGTGAAGGCATACTGCAACAGCAACACATGTATAAATAGCCATACACAGTTACTCATCAGACATGTCGTGCAGTGAATGAATGCAGATTACAGGGTAAGGTGACAGTAGCAAAGTGCATCATGTTAAAGTTGGAGATACAAATAAACATCAAGTTCTGCCAAAAATTAGAAAAATCAGCTACCAAAAGTTGCAGAAATTTCGGTGGGTTTATGGGAATGAAGCCCTGTCCTGTTCTTATCTCTTGTGTTTTTAATTGACACTGGCAGTTCACAAAAAATAGAAATGCAATCAACAATAATCCATGTGTTGGAAAGCCAGCCACAGAAATAATGGACTATGAGAAAATTCAGGTGTAATGTATTGTCTGTGAAAATTGTATGCAGACATGGATGATTTTGCAGCAACAGCAGATATCAGCCATAGTAGCTGTCACATTATTCTGACAGAAGAATGAACATGACCAGTACTGCAAAACACATCATTCTGCACTTGTTAACAGACAATCAATGTTAAGAGAGAATGACCATCTGCAGTGACCTCATTGACAATGCTGACAATGATGTGACATTTCTGCAATACATCATAACTAGAGATAAAATTTAGTGTTTCCTCTACAATCTGCAAGTGAAGTGGCAATCAGTGACTTGGAAATTGCTGTTGACCCCCAGTGTAAAGATATACCAAGACAAGTCCAATGGCAAAGTCATGCTGGAAGTGTATTTTAATGCCATGGGCATTATGCCTATGGAATTCATTCCTGGAGCAATCAATACTGTAAACAAAGATTAAAAATGATTGAAGAATAACCATTGCTGAGTTGGAACAAGAAGTTGGTTCAGATCCATTCATGCAATTCAGTGGGTTCTCCATTATGACAAGACATCTTTCCTTAATCTTGAGAACAGGAGTTAGATAAAAATCGAGACCAGATATGGAAGGGGGACAGGATATAAGCTTAGGGACAGGAGGCCCTAATTAACTATATACGAACTTCCGATGCAAACTAGAGTCACATTATTTCAATTCAAAATTTTTCCCTGAAAGGAGTTAATAGATGACTGGCATGACCCTATTGCTAACAGGGAAAGTATGGTGTACAGGGGCAAGATGGTACTAATTTAAGATTGAAGGCATATATTTTAAATGAACTAAATTTTTTAAAATATGATTAAAAATTGTAGCCTAACATTGTGACAATGTCACAACAAATAATTGCTTCAATTATATTCTCTTCCAACTATTATATTATCTCATGTGTCCTGTTAGAGATCAATATATCAATATTTACAACAGAAGTTCTAATTCATTATGTGTTTATTGAAGTAAAGAAAATATTTTTTTTTTTTTATTTGGTAATAAATCTTTAAATAATTCAAAATATCTACACTCACCTGGAGAACATTCAAAAGAGCATCATCATCGAGAGGTGGATATTTAATTTCATAATGTGGATTTATAATAGCTTGAAATTTAGAAATTATGTTGTGAAAACTCTGAAATGGAGTTTGTCCATATACTAGATTGTATAAAATACAACCCAATGACCAAACATCAGCTTTTCTATTGATCTAAAAATAAAATGCTCACAAATTAAAATATTGAATATCTTAATTTATTTTTAAAAAAAGGAATTTTGGTCATTATTAATACATAAATAATCTTTAAATGAATAAAAAAAAAAATTACTTTAAATTTCTTCTCTGTCATATTTCTATGTTCTGATGGAAGATAGATGCTTTGAATTGCTTCTGGAGGCATGAAATTAACTGTACCTATCTGTAAGAAAGAAATATTTGGAATTTCAAAAGATGATAAAATGAAATTATTAAATAATTATTTTTATTTTAATCTTGTAACTTATCATGCTAAATAAAAATTTAATTAAATTAAATAGTAAAGTCATTTAACATTATTTATATTAAGTTCATGTCATCAGAGAGTTGTAGTGAATTTCTCTCTATACTTAACATGTTAAGCATTAAAATATAATTATTTGAATGCATTAAAAAAAAATTCAATTCTTGTATTCATATTATTTTTAATTGCAGATAAACTTCAAAATATCCTGAAATACAAGGACTCAAAGTATGTAAATGCTAAAATTTATTGAATAGAATCAAAACGTTATAAGACATTTTGATATATGCCAATTCCATTTTATACTTCCATATTTAGAGAGAAGACGAAATACTAATACTAATGTAAAGAAACCCCTTATAGCAGTGTTTCTCAACAGGGGCGATATCACCCCATGTGAGTGATTTTCCATGTTGAGGGGCGATCAGCAACAATTTATATTTTTGGGGGCAAAAAACAATTTTCTGGGCGATATAGTAAAACATTATATTAAGAATAATTAGATATTTTATTCGTTATATCGTACAATAATTAAACAAATAACATTATACTAGTCACTAGTCTATTCAATGCAGTATGAATGTGGCGTTAGCCTTGGCCCTCGGCATTGGAATTTTGAAGTAAAGATACTACATTGAAGGGGGCAACGATTTGTTAGAGGTTGAGAAACACTGCCTTATAGCATACTATAAAAGTGCATTTTGAAAGAGAATGTATGCATTATCTATTCTAGCAGAGAAGCAAGTAAGGTAACAGTTTTATGCCAAAGTTGATTTTACTCCCTAAAAATCACTCTCCCATACTCATTCATTTCATTCATTCATTCATTAAATTTATTAACATAACTTTTGTTATATGCCTGATATCGCATAGCATAATCAGGTATTACATACAGAAATTACACATTTACAATAATTATGTTGCAGAACAGTCATATATATCAGTTGTACAGTGAATGGAGAGGGAATAGATAAATGTAATAAAATTAACAAAAGTAACGTACAAATGACAGTATTTAAAATACAAAATATCAATTATATATAATTGCTGCCAGAGCAACTTTTACAATTAAAATATAACATGTAGTACAGCAGAATTGAACATAATTAATTGCAGTTAATATAAAACCTGTAACACCGGTATCGTACACAAAAAGAGATTTGAAAAGAAAATATTAAAAGATATATTCAGGATATAATGTTATCGTAATTGGTTAAACACCTATGTAACAATCAATGCTATAAATATCACAACGGTATTACAATGGTACAATAAAAATTGCAATGAAATACAGTAGATAATCACAAGTATACATTACAAACACCACTAAAGTTTTGCATGCACATTATGAAAGAGAGAGATGATAGGAGAAAGTTACTCTTATGTCACAAAAGTTTTGCATGCATCACAGATAAATACAAAATACAGATAAATACCAACCACTATAGCAGTGTAACGCAGATAACCATAACCGCAGAAAACCAGAGCCACAGATAATATTGAGCACATGCACATTTGAAGAGCATTTCTAACATGAGCCGATGTGTAACACAGATAATTAGGTATCCACTGAAAACTTCATGTGGGAACTCCATGCTAAATATGAAGACACAGCGTGTCTAACCACAGTGAAATCCTTAAAATAAAATGAAAGTCACTTCCAGCGCTACAAAGTGGTATTGGTGGATTACGGTTGTAGCCAAGATTAAATATATGTCAAATTACGATTTGACCACAAAAGATCGTCAGATTTAACAGTGACGACATAAAGCACATTAAATACACAATCGATTACAATGCAGAAGAATAAATAAACAGAGCGGGTAAGAAAATAAAGCCATTCTAAAACATAGTAATACCAATGTAAATACACAATGGAGGCAGAACTAAAGAGATAGTAGTGACCTGACTCTCCCATACTCATTGGAAACAAGGTTCAGTGGACCTAAGACCCACATAGTAATCACAAACTTGCCAACACAGAATTTTAGCTGTCTACCACACTGTGCCACTAGATCAACACAGGCCCGAATGAAATATTAGTTAGTTTTAAACATAACCATTGTTTAAGACTCCCATGTCCAACCTGCAGCCCACTCAATGTTTTTGTGTGGCCCTTTTAAAACAGTAATTATCTTGTATAGATTTTTATTACAATGAAATATCACATGTATAGTTAAAAACATTAATATGATGTATAACACTTTATCACATACACTCAGAAATTAAAACACTTATTAAATACTTTTTAACAAAGCTTCAAATGTATTACATACAATATATATGAGTAAACAGTACATACTGTATGTATATGTATTTAATCAGTATGTTTACAACAACAAATGTGTTTAAATTGGTGTTTCAGTATAATGAAATTATATTTCCTTAAATTTGCTCTATATGTGTAATAAATGTCAAATAATAGACACATTCTTATGTTACAATGGTCTTCTGTATTTCCAATAAATGATAAGATATTTTATTGTTTTTTTTAAGTCTTTGGAAATAAGCCTAATAAAATTTAAATTAGAATTACACATTTACATCTGCATATAGATTTAAAATTTCAAACCATTCCATGTTTAGATTGTTAATGGGTTTAATTATGTTTTATTATGTAAGTTATTTGATTATAGTTAGCCACCAAAGAGACACTTCATGTAACGATTATGTGCTGTAGGTCATTTCATAATCAGATGACCATTAGTTAGTGGGGTTTTTTTTGACCTGGCAGCCATTTTCAACAAAGTTATTCTGTTTAGCTAGCTCTGGTAATTAAGTCATGGAAAATGCTTAAAGAAATTTTGGAAATTAAGAGAAGAAATTTGAATTTTTATGAATGAAAATGAGCATAATGTTCCTGAATTATATGATGGACAGTGGCTTTTGGATTTGTTTCCTTACAAATATTATAATGAAATTAAACAAACTTAATAAGCAGCTTTAAAGTGAAAACAAATTGATCACAGACTGTTACCAAAATATAAAAGCATTCATAGCAAAACTCAAACTTTATGAAAGTCAAATTAAAATCAAAAACTACAATCCATCTTCAAAAATTACGTAAATTTAATACAGTAGAACCTCGAAAACTCGGCCTAATGTGGACCGAAGGGTGGCCGAGTTTGTGAAAATGCCGGGTTATCGGGAATGGGTTAAAAAAAATAAGTACGAGTGTTTCCTCAGAAAATACTGTACTGTACTTGTATGTATTGTTTACTTGAGAATATAACAGAGAATAAACTGCCCAAATACCCTTAAACGAAGGAAAAGTACATCCTTTATGAAGGCATAGAACCTTTACTACATAAAAATGAAAATTAATGAATACACTGTGTACAGTAATTTACCTGATAAGACAGATCTCAGAAAAATACTTTATGAGAGCTTTTAAACTTTTATAAAGCTGTCTATAATGAAAATTAATTAACTAAGGATTTTTTTGCCCTGCCAAGGTGTGGCCAAGTTATCCGGAGTGCCGGGTTATCGAGAGCCGAGTTTTCGAGGTTCTACTGTAGTGACAAAAAACATTTTTCTAAATATGCACAAGAAATTACTAATTTACCAAGAGAACTTCAAGAGAAATCTTCATATTTAAAAATTTATGAAAATATATTTAATATTTTCTTATGTCCATTTGACATTGTTGTGGAACAAGCTCCAACAAATTTGCATATAGATTTAATAGATCTCCAGTCATCTTTTGAATTGAAATATATGTTTGTGGCCAACGACAAAGTTCAGTTTTATACAAAATATGTGTGTAATGATAAATTCCGTGACTTAAAAAACTGGCGAAGAGCAGTACAGCTGCAATGGGAATCACCTATCTTTGTGAATCATTTTTCTCAAAATTGAAGATTGTTAAATGTAAAAGTCATAATAGATTGATCGATGAAAACTTAAAAAACCGACTATGTTGTACAACATCAAAAATACCTGTTCATATTAAAAAATTAAGAATCAAGTTTCACATTAAAATACACACAAAATACTGTATAATTGTATATGTTTTGTTGTAAATAAATATGTACAGCCCACAGTGTATTTTTATTTTTGATTTTGGCCCAGAAAACAATTTTGGTTGGACAACACTGGTTTAAGAAATGAGTATTATAAGGCTCAGAAGGCAACTTCAATCATCATATTATTTGAATTATGTATATTTATGGAGGAAAAAATTAAACAGATTAAATCATTTTCCAGATTATTTAACAACTTATTAGATTATTTTATATGAAAGTAAGAAAGCAAGCTGTTTGAATATACAAGATATAGTTGTGCAGTTAGGAAAGTATAATCATTATTATTATTATTATTTATAAAACCAAAAGAACCGAAAAATATTTTAGTGAAATTATTTACCTGGCTGTCTTTAATTACACTTGTTGTATCTTTTTGAACTGATGAAGAAATTCCAAAATCTATTAGCTTCAGTTTTCCAGAAACAAGTAAAAAGTTTGCTGGTTTCAAATCAGAATGAATGATTCCTTAATAAAAAATAAAAAGTATGAGGCCATATTTTAATAAAAATTAAAAGATTAGAAAACAATCAATTATGATTAATTAATAAAATTTTGTTTATTTAACATAACTTAAACTATAAATTATTTTAATTAACAATATTTATGTGAGAATTTTTATTTTAAATCATACAGGGTGATTTTTAATACATGCAAAATTTTAAACTTTATTAACTTTTCAACTATAAGAGATTAAAAAGGAAATTCAAAAAGCATATTATACAGAATTTATTGCCATTTAATAAATTAGGTTTTCAAAACGACTACTGTCACTCACAATAATAGTTTTCAACTGATTTTTTAAACATTCAATAATGTTAATAGAGGTCTTTCTTGGAATTATTTCCTTTTATTTATTTATTCTGCCTATCAACTCTTCAATAGTTGTAGGAGCATTGTGATGAGCTTGATCCGGGATTCTGAGATATAATTAATTATTTTTAAGATATAGAATAAATCTTAATATTGTATGATATAATTACTTTTCATTTTTAAGTAATTTAGCAATCTCGAAAATAATATTAATAATGCTTGTAAAATACGTATAAAAAATGTATAAATTTTCACAAACAGAAAAAGTTTACTAAAGTTTGTTGGAAATTGCATACAACAAAAATGCCTTTGAACTGAGTTGAAAATTTAAAGAAAAAAAATGAACTTAGATCAAACTAGAAGGTAATTTTTGTTATTTAAATAAAACATAATACAAAACATTATTGTAAATTTTTATAATAAGATTTTAAAAAGCAAAGATGGTCGATACTCCGATTACTCAATTTGATTCTTATTTTACTACAGAAAAGTCCTGCTACCGAGAATGCCCTTTTCAATTCAATTGATGTGGCTGGAATTGTCTTTAATGCATTTAAGACGGGTGTCCAACCTACAGCCCGCATGAGGCCCAAGACAAGTTCCAATGTGGCCCAATAAACGTGTAAACAAAACCGACAAATTTTTAAATTATTTATTTATTTATTTCAACGGCATAAACCTCAAAAAAGAAGTTTCACAAAGCTGTAAACCTTTATACATATTTTATTTTTTAATAGAAAGAAAATATTTTCAAATACTTGAAATGTGTGAATGAAGAAGGAATACTAAATAAAGCTGTAGTTGTGACTCAAAGGATTACTGCCCCAAATTTGGGGAAAGGAAAGGCCAAAAGATAAAAAGAAGTGAGAAAGGTTGGAAAATTAAGGATCAATATTTGCATAACAGGTCTATGTAACCTTTCTCACTTCTTTATTTTTTTGAACTTACTCTCCTTTCCCCGAATTTGGGTCTATAATTCTTTGAATTCCAACTCTAGCTTTATTTAATATTCCTTTCAGCATTGCAAGCTTTGGCAACCCTTTTTTAGTTTAGCATAAAAAAATATCATTTGTCACTTTGGCTACATATTATTTATAAATATATTAGTTGAATAAAATTTCACTTTAAAATGGTGTTTCGTTGTTTTTTTATTAATTAAAGACCCAAATAAAACAAATATTTGTGTTTTTCAAATAAATTTTTGTCTGTCTCCTTTATAATAAATAAATTTATCTATTTCTAACTAGAAATTAAAAGTGTCTGTAGAAGTCATTTTTTAAAATATCCTTTTTCGTGATAAAGTTTTAATACTTATTACTATAATCTAGACATGTAAATCCACAATATACTTGTGGTCCAGAGAAACAAAAAGGTTGGACACCCCTGATTTAAGAGAATATGGATGTTATGTGTTTTTTCACCTGTAGCCTGGAATATTTCTAGTTTGTTTTTGAAATCTGTTATGGTATTTCTTTTGCCATCTTCTTGATTTGTCTACCTCGTCTGCTTTAATAGCGACCGACATTGATCTTACAACCTGATAATTTGACAGTTTGTTTGGGTTTAATAATCTGGTTTATGAAGAAAAACTTCATACTTGCAGAGTTTGTACTCGTTTGTATCCTTGCCCAATTTGCACAACCTGGCATAATGCAGTTATTGAAGCTACTTGGCATGGTTAAAAATTAAGACAGCATAAGCACAATTATTCCAGATATTACAGGTTCTGACAAGTAAAGAATTTTCAGAGTCCTATCACATATTTGTGATAGAACTCTGAAAATTCTTTACTTAGGCTATAGGCTACATATTGATTATTAACAATCTGTGACATGCCATAATAAGCAAAAATTTTAAAAACTAATAAACAGGCTTAAAATAATAAATACAAATGTATTCTGACAGTTTATGGGTTAATAATTATACTTTCTATTTGCAAAATTTCTTCAATTTTTAACACCAAATAAGAAAAAAAGTGAATTTTTAAGAAATTTGCATGATTTCCCGGGATGAGAATTTCCCAGGTTAAAAACCAGCTGGGATCCTGTTTGAGAAACCCTAATTGTGATATACCCAATAAAAATAAATCACATGGATTTCAGTCGGGGCTATAAAACAGTCACTCCACACCACCACCAGCATCTTTTTCATAATCTAATCCATTTACATGCTTCTCAAACATGCTGTAAAGGTTTTAAATACTTGCTTTGTGCAATGGAGCCTTGCACCATCTTACATAAACTAAGCATGATGATGATGATGATGTTTATGTCTAACAAACATTTTGGGATAAAATTTCTTTTCCAATAATTCAACATATGCAGCAAAAGCAACATTCTTTTTGAAGAAGAATGGTCCAATAACTCCACTAGCACTGATAGCACACCACTTAAATAATTAGAATTTTGATAATAATTCTTTACAATAAACCCATGTTGTTCTAAAGTGAGCACCACCATTTTGAAAATGAATGTTAACATTAATCAATCATCGACGCCAAAAATGTAAACATTGTGCTATGTAGTACTTTTTGAATTTTATTTCTATGTCATTCAGTTGAAAAGTTATTTGAGTTTAAAGTTTTGTGTGAAGAAACTCACCCTGTAATTGAAGACTATTATGATAAATAAATTGATATAAGCAAAAATAAGTTATACAGTGGGTAATCAGTGAAAGAACAGTTCAGACTACGAATACTTTTGCGTTTTTTATGTTCAGATAATGAACACTTCACAGAACAAACACAAGAAGAAACAACCTAAAATAATGAATACCAATTGGTCTTCCCTTGTCTTTGGACAACAATTTGAAACATTTTGGAGTACAGGAGACATTGACATTGACACTCAACCCAGTATATACTGATTGGATAGTATTCCTCCGAACTTTGAAACTCTCCCTTGTAANGCAGAACAATCAATGAAAAACACTTTTTCATTTATCTTTGTTTTTGCTCTATAAAGATCAAAAGTTACACATTTTTCATTGATAAACTGCATGTTTAAAAATGTTAAAGTATATTTGGCATTATTCATTTACTTTACAAACCGAAATCATTGTCCTCTTCAAATACTTTGATACAAAAAGAAAGATAAGAAAAGTTACAGAAATAAAATATCATAATGAATTCTACTCAAACAGTAACAAAATATAACATGGGTACATTGCCTGGTAAAGCAGCTTTAATGCATTTGAATAAATAAGCCAATGACATAGCCTATTTTATTTAAAGCATATCATGCCATTGGCCTGCTTATTCTACTGTATTAAAGCCACTTTACCAGGCCACGTGGCCAAAGACATAATACTTACTAATCATATAACTTCACAACACGATCACAACCTTGCAATTGTTGGAGTAATTTTATTTCATTTTTAAATCCTTCTCTGATAGAATGATCTGTACCAGCAATATTCACTTTTTTTATTGCTAAAATTTTTCCAGTTTCAAAATCATATACTTGATATACCTGTTTACCATAAGAAGTTTAAGATTCAAAATAATAATAATAATAATAATAATTAAATATATAGTTACAAAATTTTAAAAACAGAAGACTAAAAGGTACACTAGTATGAATTTTATGTAATAGAAGTTATAATTAAAAAATTAGAAGGTATTTTGTTGATTTTAATAAAAATTAAAAAAAAATAACAAAATTTTTAAATTTGAAAAACTTAAAATTTGATATATTAATGTTATGGTAAGCAAATGAAGTATAAATCTAAAAATGTATATGTGATAATGTAATAAAAAGATGATATATCTGATATTAAACTAAGTCTGAAAATAAAAATAGAAATTAATAATTAATGATGTAAATGTATTGAAATGTAATTTATATGTTAAATCATAGATATATATCTTAATCATCCATTATTTTGTTTGAAACTAATGCTTCTACACAATAAAACTTTCTTTTCCAATTTTTCTATAAAAACTATCTAAAAAGAAGGAAAAAATAAACTTAAAAAAACATTTTTATTTTATAAATAATCAATAATTCAATGTCTATGATGTGTTTAAAAAAGAATTTTTCTATTCTTAATAAAATAAGTTTGTTTTGTATTCAATATTTAATTCAAATTTATTGTATATCAATCATTTTATATCATTATAAAGGCAATAAGCTTAGAAAGCTGATTCTTCATTTAGCTACTTGTTTGTATCAAATTTTTATTTCAGTAACCTAAATGGCACTGTTTTTCCCAAACTTATCACAATGACTTTTGTATGTTATAACTCACTATTTTATTCGTTTTAAGTACCTTTAACAAAATGCACTCAGACTCATATCATTCCTCTTCAGTTGTTATAGAGTTGTTACATATTAAACTGTATTCATATAATCTGTGTAATAATAAACTGTAATCATATAATGTTCATATAACATATTTAAATCATAAACTGTATCTAATAAATTTCTGATGAATGCATTTGTATTCTAATATACTGCATATGTAATCATCATCAATAAACCTATGTTTTATACTTTTTTTAGTTTAAATTTCTGAACTAGAACTTCTGTATCTGTATTTATATATAAAAAGATTGTACATAATTTACCTTGCTAGAGCCTCCTTTTCCTAAAAGATTCAGCTTAAAATATGATTTATCATTCACTTTTAAAGTTTTAAATTTGTTCTGGGGAAAAAAAGTAAATTTAAATATATCAAAAATAAAGCAAAAGTTTTATTTAATTTCTAAAAATGTTACAAATTTGTTTAATCTATTTTATAAAAAAGAACTCTGAGAGAATCATATTTACTAACTTTCTAAATATCAAATTAAATGTTAAGATTTATTTAATTAGAAATCTTTGTATATTTTAAAGACTATTATCTATTTTTACTAAAAATTTATTTAATTCTAAACATAGAAGTAAATGCACACAATGTTTACTAATGTACAGTACAAGAGAGCTCAAAAGTCAGTCAACCAAGATATTGAGATTTATTTATTTTTTTAAAACAGTTAAAACTGGTTTGGAACAACTGCATTGATTCAATTGCTTCATTAGAACTGACTGTTGAGCTACCCGATATATCAGAATTGTTATATAATTAATTAAAAATAATCAATTAATTTTAAACTGAAAGTAATTATAAATTAATATGTGTTCAATATCTAGTGAAAATATAAATTATGAATTTAAATTTAAAAATTTAATTAATATTCTTTTTACGTTTTCAGCTTGTTCTGATATCATCTGACACATCTTTCTGTAACTTTCAGGATCTTTCTTAACTTCATTTTTACCTTTAACAGTGGCATTACTACAAACTTGATCATTTCCTGAAATATAATTATTATAAAACATTAAATATAAAAATAACAGGCTATAGGACAATTGTGATCAGTGGCATAACTAAGAAGTCAAAGACCTGCCCACAAGAATTTTCCTGAGGCCCATTCCAATAATTCCACAAAAAGTTTGCCGTATCTGTATTTAAAATCTCTCTTGCCCAAAGTGCAGGCTCTGCAATTCTATTATATATGCCACTGATTGTAATATGTAATTGTATAAATAAAGATTTATATACAAATTAAGATCAATTATTCCATAGAAATATATTGAAATTCAGGGAATATATTCTGTAAATGTTTGATTAACAATATTTCAGTTCATTTTATGTTGATAAATTAAAATTAACAGAAACAATTAACATAAATAAGATACAGGCAAATGAAATTCATTATGAAAATTTCTATTAACTATATAAAAAATTATTTTCAATAGAAATTCAGTTGAAACAGAAGAAAAATCTTTATTACATAGTAACAAAACTACAAATCACTTACGTTGAATTAAAAGTGGAGTTTTTGCTGCAGAAAAATTTTCATTTTTACTAAATAAATTTAAAAACATATACATATCAATATATCATTATAAATATTGCATATATTTTAAAATTTAAATTAAATATTTATAGTTTTATATAAATTCAAGAAATAATAGTACTGCACAAAATTTACAAGTACAGAGCATCTGCAATTTATTGATTGAATTTAACATAAATATTTAAACACAAACCATAACAAATACAGGTTAATGTTTTTTTGCAGCCATTACAATAATTCAAAATATTTTTATTGGAAAGTTACATCTAAGAAATTTAGTAAACTTTGACATCGACACCTTTAATAACATGTATAATATTCAAAATCTGCAACTAATTTCATGCCAACTGCTTTGCAGCATATCTCAAGACACCAAAATCACAACATCAGTTATCCAATGTTTCAACTGTGCAATGTCAATCTTTGCTTATACCCTGTCCTTTATATATCACCACATAAAAAAACCTAAAGATATGAAATCTGGAGAGTGAGAAGACTATGGAATAAGACCACTATGGTCCAGCTGTTGATCAAGAAACTTGTTCCCTAAAAAACCTTTTGAATTGTTGTATTTAATGCAAAGAACCATCTCATGATATCTACTCTGGTTAATTTTTTAATCAGGTATCTTAATCAGATATATATATATATAAAATCCGCAATTTATTTAAGCTTTTTTTACATAGAAATATGCAAATTTTATAAAAGTAAACATGAATAATCACTAAAAGCAGTATTACCAATAAAATTAAGTGCTAGTAATTAATAATTATCTTTATTGCAATGATTAATTTACAATTAACAGTTAAATATTGCCACTAAATATATATTTATAAACAGAACATAATTACAAATTTTTTCTGATATACCTTTTATTTTCTGATGCCAAACTTAAAAAATCATTTAAATTCTTAAACTTATACTGATTTTTAGTATTAATTACTGTTGACGGTTTTATTTGATCTGTAACGTAAAAAAATTTAAAAAATTTTTTTTATATCATCTTAGAATCAATTTTTATGAATAATTCATTTAAAAATGTAACTAATCTGAATACCATCCATTTTATCCTTTACAACTTTATCTACATCATTTTTCACTTCAAATATTTGTAAATTTTTGTCCACTTCTTCAATTTCTTCCTCAACTTCAGTTTCTTCCACAGAATTCTTATAATAATCTAATGCAAAAATATAATTAAAAAAAAATTAAAATAAATAAATAATTTATGTATTTTTTATTTTTTTTCGTAATTTTTTAAAATTTAATCTCTCTCTGAAATGCCATGGAACTCCAACATTTAATTTTAATACATGTATGAGCTGAAGCTGGACTGTAAAATAGCCCAAAAACATTTAATTTGCCTATTCAATTTTTGGCTGCCTTAATTTAGCTGTACTTTTATTTTTTCATTAAAACTCTTAAGGTATGGTGTCAAGTTTTAAAGTATTTTTAAATATGCAAGTTCTTCAAAAGACAAAAACAAATATTCTTAATAAAATTAACAATTTTAATTATGAATAATGTAAAAAAAAATTATCATTCCTTTCAAATGGTAGTTATTAATTAATGAATGTGATGAGGTTTAATAAGAGCAATGCTGTTTGTATATTAAAAATATTTAAACAAATTAACTGTTGTTATTTTCTTCTAATATGAAATGAACTATATTGAATATTCATCATTCTAATGTAAATCTTATCAATAATATAGATAGCTCACAATGCAAAATATTTTTCTTTATGAAATTTTTAATCATACATTCTGCATATACATGTGTTCCTCTACTTATGAATGTTCAATTTATGAACTTTCAGACTTGAAAAAATTTGAATGTATGTCTAAAATTTAAATTTTGTGCAAATTCTGAAGTTCTTTTGCTGTTTATGGGGTGGCATTAAAGGCTGTCTTTGGCTAGTAACAAAAATTTTTTAATAAATACAAGGCACGTCCAGAAAGTAAGTACTGTTTGGCTATTGAAAAAAGTAAGCATTTGAAACAAATAGAATTCCACCACCTGTGACTTGAACCATTTCTGGTTGCAGTGATTGTTGTTTGCTTTCTGGTGTCAGGTAGCAAAACCATGTTTTATCACTAGTGGCAATTCTTTTCAAAAATCCATTTCCTTCTCCTTCATACCACTGCGAAAGTTCTATGGCTGATCCCATGTGTTTTGTTTTATGAACATCCAATATCATTTTTTGGCACCCATCTCAAACACAACTTTTTGAAGTGCAAGAGTTTAGTCACAATTTCGTGCAGCTGAAATGTCAAGAAATCATAGTGAATTCAGAAACTGTGAACTGTTTATGGGAATGTATCTTCTCTTCGACATTGTGCAGCAAGTCTTCATTGACTAGGAATAAGAAGCCACTATGCTCCTCATCTTGAATGTTGTTTCTTCTTTGTTAAACATTCTAAACTACTTTCTCACCATACCTTCACTTATCATATTTAGTTTGTAAATTTTGTATGAGTGAATATTTCTCGCATTAAAAAACCTAATTACCGATCGTATTTCACAACTGGTGGGCCACTTTATTGTTTTGAACATTATTACTGATGCTTAGTGATCCTCAACGAAAATAAGAAAAAAGTAATAATATGACTGTTATTTTGTTCTTGAGTGGAAGAAGTAACTATGCATGCATGACCTTGACATTGCCAAAATGAGCAGATCTACACAAATGGTACTTACTTTCTGGATATGCTTCATACTTAATGTGGGCTTATTTCTATCATGTATTATCATTTTTCACTTTTGTGTGAATTCTGAGGTTTCATTGCCACTTGTGAGGTAGCATTGAAGTTGGTAACATTGGAGTAATGACATTTTTTGCTATTATTTGAAGTTTTTATGAACTTTTACAATTAGTGCTTCAAAAATGCATCCAAAACATCAGAGAAAATCTAGCAGTGGAGATAAATGCAAAAAGTGCCACACTATTACCACAGAAACTAAACTGGACACTATAAAACTGTGTGTGTTAGATAAAAAAAAATAGCATTTCAAACACCAACCACTAGCAATAGTGAGTGGGTATGTATAAGTATAATGTATTCTATTAAATACATTAAAGCAGTGGCGTGTGGTAACATTTGATGATAGGGAAACTGTGCCAACCCTGGATAGAATCATTGGAAGCGTTATACAATATTTTGGTGTGTAGCATCCATCAGATGAACCATGTGAGGTTGGTGCTCTGTAAAGCACATACGCAAATTGCGTATAATCTGGCTGCTTTACACCATTCAAATATTTTCGCCGTGGAAGCTGTCCCGTATTCAACAATACAATGCTTCTGTTGGGAATATGCATATACAAATTTATATTCAAACATACAATAGCAATCATTTTTTTCATATGTAGTATAGAAATTTGTAATAAAGTACATAATGCAGTTATAATAAAATATTAATTTTAATTAAATCATAGTATGTTAAAATATGAAAATAATTACACAATATATATTTATATTTTAGAAAATACAAGGGAAACAGTGCTTCCACAGCTTCCATGGACGGCACACCACTGCATTGAAGAATCAAACACTAATAATAAATGGTTATTCTGCGTAAAAATATACTTTTTAGGTTAGTTTTCGACTTATGACAAAATGTTGGAAACCTAATCTTCTCATAAGTAGGGGAGCATCTGTTAAAATTGATGAGATAAGGAAATGCAATGCATGTGTGATCTGACAAGGAGAAAGTGCTTCCTGGAAAAACTTATGAAAAACTAACCCTTATTTGTGTTAGGCAAATGAGAAAAAGCTGGAAAAAATCCAAGGCCAGCCTATTGGACAAGCACAAACCTGAGAATAACTATCAATGTTTGGGGATGTTATCCATTTGGCCACTGGCAGAATTTATAGTTATAATAATAATAAATGATGCATACAACTTCTATCTGTTTAGAGTCTAAAGACAATATAAACAATTTATAGTCTAAACTTTAAACTGTAAATTGTTTATATTGTCTTTATAATCAACTCTTGTTATCAATAAAAATAAAAACTTTGCTAAAACTGATGAAATTTGTCACACAGAAATCTACATGATCAATATAATTTTGATTGATATAATATTTAGCTAAAACATTAAGCTATAACTAATTAAAATTTATTAATCCATTATTAGGCTTTTATTAATTACAAAATAAATTTATATTACAACTATTTCCCTCTTCGCTATCATCATCATCGTCGTCATCTAAATTTCCAGAACCTGGCTCAATAAGCATGGGGAAGTCATTCAGAAATGAAGCACCTTGTTTCCTGTTTAATTTTTTAAAAATATTAAAATTAGTTTATTATTATAAATTATCACATAAGCATATTAATAATTTAACAGAACAGAAGCCAGAAAAAATGAGAAGAGAGATACATCAAGAAAGAAATATGTATGAATATAACAGAGTGAAAAAAACAACTGTCCAAAGACCAAAATACAGATTCTAGAATATGATTTATATATACAATAAATCATTGATTTAAACAAATAATTGAAGGAGGAGTATTTGTTATTGCCAAAAATCTGTAAAATTGAACATGTTTTATAAACATATATTAATAACAAACTTAAATATACAAGATGTGTTAAAATATTATAATAATGTATAAGTATGAATGAAATAATAATATAACATTCATGGAATAATTTACACTGATTGACTCGTTGATCCAACCTTTTAATATGCTCTTTCTCTTGTCTGTTAAATTAAGAGTCAACTATATATATATATAATACTATATATATATATATAGTATTATATATAATATAACAACTCTCTATCTCTGTATATATGAAGTATGCAATACCATAACATTGCAAATGCCATTTTTCTCTAAATACATTTTATTGAAGAATTGAATTCTAAACGTAATGTTTTCTGCTGCAAAAAAATATTGTGGAAATAGTGGTGCTGTAATGGCTGTATTTTGAAGCTGAATTTATGTGAAGCCATAATGTTTAAAGAGTCAAAGCATAATTCATGCAGCTTTTGGCACTTGAAACATTACACCTTATATTTACATCATTTTTTTACTGCAGAGAATTTGTAACCTAGTGAGATTTTTACCATATTATTGTAAAATTGAAATGAATTCATTCACCAGAAAAAGTGTTTTTTACCTCTCCTGAAAAGTTGAATTTTGGCATTTACAACATTATGGTATTGTACACTTCATATATTATATATAAAACTTATAAGTGTTTGTGTGTAAAGAAAGAAAATTTGAATTTATAAATAATAAAAACTTTATATTGTCCAATACAGGTATACCTCACCTTATGTCGGTAATTGGTTCCAGGAGAGGCAACATAAGTCGAATTTACTTGTCTCCAAATCTATTTGTCACTAGGCTAAACCATAAATTACCATTCCCGGTTCTGTATTTTATTTATTAATGCATTTTTAAACATGGTTAATACGGATCTATTTTAAGCTTACAAACAAATAAATTTTAGTTTTTAATATAGTACAGAAAAAAGTAATCTAAATTTACGAATGCATGTACTGTAAATACAGTACATACTTGTAAATGTATATATTTTAATATAATTTTATGTGCTTTAAACACTTTTCTAGTGATATTACGACTTCAATATTTGTGGCGAACAGACATAAAGTTGAATAAAATGACTTAAACTTGATTTTTATTTTCCCATGTACTTTTTTGACAAATGACGTATAATCAGGAACAACATAACTCAAAACAATGCAAGTTGAGGTATACCTGTATACTTTTTTGTGTCCATCTGGCTTTCATTCATATTTTCATCACGGACTAAACATATGTATATTTTGAATAATTCTAAAATCTTAAAATTATTTTTCTATATTATATTTTAAAATAAAATAAAATTTTAATAATAAATAAATGTACTTATTAAATACTTACAGTCTTTCTATAAGCGACAGTACATTTTCAGAAGTTTTATTATTTTCAGAAGTTTTATTATTTTCAGATGTTTTATTATTTTCAGATGTTTTATTATTATCTTCTAAACGAGGAAGACTATTGTATGTTCTTAATTGTTTTGCAGAATTTTGTTTCTGTAGTTCATTATTAGTTAGATTTGGCTGCTTTGTAGTTGAACTTGTGATCTACAAACACAATAAAATTTAATAATCTTTTTTTCATTAATATAATATTTTAATTTACTTTCTAACATTTATACTGCAGAGCATTGTCTGTTGTTACAAGTTATTACACTTTTCAACATTTTTATATGGAAATAGTGGAAAAATAAGTAAATTTAATAGAAACTAATATTAGAAACTGGCTATAAACAGGAATTATAAACTCAGTAGCAAAACATTTAATTAAAACTTCAATATTTAATTAATTAAAAATTATCTACATTTGTAGCTTGTTAATGAATCATTAGTCTGATTTTTAAAAAATGAACATGGTCAATCCATTAATGAAGTCATTCCAACATAAATATATTAAAAACAAAATTATTTGGCATCAAACAAAATCAAAAATATCATGACAAAGCATAAGTAACGTTTACTTTTAGAAAACTTTGGTGTCTTGATGAGCCATGAAAACAACTGTGAAGATTGGGCCTTCAGGTTAGATACAACCTATGGTGGCCTCTAGTGCAGTCTAACAAAATATCAAATGGTTTAATATTGAAATAAGTTTTAATAGCATCTGTTTTCCCTTCACTTTTCAGACAAATTAAAAAATAAAAGTAGCTTACAGAAAGGTAATATAATATTTTTATGTTATATTTGATCATATGTTTTTCTGATTTATTTTAAGGCAGCCTGTGCAATATGTTGAATAATAATGCTGAACTTACGCACTTATACAAACTGCAATACAATATGTGGCCTTATGAGATTCCTATGCGACAAAATATAGTCTAGAACAGGGGTGGCCAACAAGTCGATCGCAAAACCAATTTTGGTCGATCGNTAAACTACTTTCTCACCATACCTTCACTTATCACATTTAGTTTGTAAATTTTGTATGAGTGAATATTTCTCGCATTAAAAAACCTAATTACCGATATAAATATTGCATATATTTTAAAATTTAAATTAAATATTTATAGTTTTATATAAATTCAAGAAATAATAGTACTGCACAAAATTTACAAGTACAGAGCATCTGCAATTTATTGATTGAATTTAACATAAATATTTAAACACAAACCATAACAAATACAGGTTAATGTTTTTTTGCAGCCATTACAATAATTCAAAATATTTTTATTGGAAAGTTACATCTAAGAAATTTAGTAAACTTTGACATCGACACCTTTAATAACATGTATAATATTCAAAATCTGCAACTAATTTCATGCCAACTGCTTTGCAGCATATCTCAAGACACCAAAATCACAACATCAGTTATCCAATGTTTCAACTGTGCAATGTCAATCTTTGCTTATACCCTGTCCTTTATATATCACCACATAAAAAAACCTAAAGATATGAAATCTGGAGAGTGAGAAGACTATGGAATAAGACCACTATGGTCCAGCTGTTGATCAAGAAACTTGTTCCCTAAAAAACCTTTTGAATTGTTGTATTTAATGCAAAGAACCATCTCATGATATCTACTCTGGTTAATTTTTTAATCAGGTATCTTAATCAGATATATATATATATAAAATCCGCAATTTATTTAAGCTTTTTTTACATAGAAATATGCAAATTTTATAAAAGTAAACATGAATAATCACTAAAAGCAGTATTACCAATAAAATTAAGTGCTAGTAATTAATAATTATCTTTATTGCAATGATTAATTTACAATTAACAGTTAAATATTGCCACTAAATATATATTTATAAACAGAACATAATTACAAATTTTTTCTGATATACCTTTTATTTTCTGATGCCAAACTTAAAAAATCATTTAAATTCTTAAACTTATACTGATTTTTAGTATTAATTACTGTTGACGGTTTTATTTGATCTGTAACGTAAAAAAATTTAAAAAATTTTTTTTATATCATCTTAGAATCAATTTTTATGAATAATTCATTTAAAAATGTAACTAATCTGAATACCATCCATTTTATCCTTTACAACTTTATCTACATCATTTTTCACTTCAAATATTTGTAAATTTTTGTCCACTTCTTCAATTTCTTCCTCAACTTCAGTTTCTTCCACAGAATTCTTATAATAATCTAATGCAAAAATATAATTAAAAAAAAATTAAAATAAATAAATAATTTATGTATTTTTTATTTTTTTTCGTAATTTTTTAAAATTTAATCTCTCTCTGAAATGCCATGGAACTCCAACATTTAATTTTAATACATGTATGAGCTGAAGCTGGACTGTAAAATAGCCCAAAAACATTTAATTTGCCTATTCAATTTTTGGCTGCCTTAATTTAGCTGTACTTTTATTTTTTCATTAAAACTCTTAAGGTATGGTGTCAAGTTTTAAAGTATTTTTAAATATGCAAGTTCTTCAAAAGACAAAAACAAATATTCTTAATAAAATTAACAATTTTAATTATGAATAATGTAAAAAAAAATTATCATTCCTTTCAAATGGTAGTTATTAATTAATGAATGTGATGAGGTTTAATAAGAGCAATGCTGTTTGTATATTAAAAATATTTAAACAAATTAACTGTTGTTATTTTCTTCTAATATGAAATGAACTATATTGAATATTCATCATTCTAATGTAAATCTTATCAATAATATAGATAGCTCACAATGCAAAATATTTTTCTTTATGAAATTTTTAATCATACATTCTGCATATACATGTGTTCCTCTACTTATGAATGTTCAATTTATGAACTTTCAGACTTGAAAAAATTTGAATGTATGTCTAAAATTTAAATTTTGTGCAAATTCTGAAGTTCTTTTGCTGTTTATGGGGTGGCATTAAAGGCTGTCTTTGGCTAGTAACAAAAATTTTTTAATAAATACAAGGCACGTCCAGAAAGTAAGTACTGTTTGGCTATTGAAAAAAGTAAGCATTTGAAACAAATAGAATTCCACCACCTGTGACTTGAACCATTTCTGGTTGCAGTGATTGTTGTTTGCTTTCTGGTGTCAGGTAGCAAAACCATGTTTTATCACTAGTGGCAATTCTTTTCAAAAATCCATTTCCTTCTCCTTCATACCACTGCGAAAGTTCTATGGCTGATCCCATGTGTTTTGTTTTATGAACATCCAATATCATTTTTTGGCACCCATCTCAAACACAACTTTTTGAAGTGCAAGAGTTTAGTCACAATTTCGTGCAGCTGAAATGTCAAGAAATCATAGTGAATTCAGAAACTGTGAACTGTTTATGGGAATGTATCTTCTCTTCGACATTGTGCAGCAAGTCTTCATTGACTAGGAATAAGAAGCCACTATGCTCCTCATCTTGAATGTTGTTTCTTCTTTGTTAAACATTCTAAACTACTTTCTCACCATACCTTCACTTATCACATTTAGTTTGTAAATTTTGTATGAGTGAATATTTCTCGCATTAAAAAACCTAATTACCGATCGTATTTCACAACTGGTGGGCCACTTTATTGTTTTGAACATTATTACTGATGCTTAGTGATCCTCAACGAAAATAAGAAAAAAGTAATAATATGACTGTTATTTTGTTCTTGAGTGGAAGAAGTAACTATGCATGCATGACCTTGACATTGCCAAAATGAGCAGATCTACACAAATGGTACTTACTTTCTGGATATGCTTCATACTTAATGTGGGCTTATTTCTATCATGTATTATCATTTTTCACTTTTGTGTGAATTCTGAGGTTTCATTGCCACTTGTGAGGTAGCATTGAAGTTGGTAACATTGGAGTAATGACATTTTTTGCTATTATTTGAAGTTTTTATGAACTTTTACAATTAGTGCTTCAAAAATGCATCCAAAACATCAGAGAAAATCTAGCAGTGGAGATAAATGCAAAAAGTGCCACACTATTACCACAGAAACTAAACTGGACACTATAAAACTGTGTGTGTTAGATAAAAAAAAATAGCATTTCAAACACCAACCACTAGCAATAGTGAGTGGGTATGTATAAGTATAATGTATTCTATTAAATACATTAAAGCAGTGGCGTGTGGTAACATTTGATGATAGGGAAACTGTGCCAACCCTGGATAGAATCATTGGAAGCGTTATACAATATTTTGGTGTGTAGCATCCATCAGATGAACCATGTGAGGTTGGTGCTCTGTAAAGCACATACGCAAATTGCGTATAATCTGGCTGCTTTACACCATTCAAATATTTTCGCCGTGGAAGCTGTCCCGTATTCAACAATACAATGCTTCTGTTGGGAATATGCATATACAAATTTATATTCAAACATACAATAGCAATCATTTTTTTCATATGTAGTATAGAAATTTGTAATAAAGTACATAATGCAGTTATAATAAAATATTAATTTTAATTAAATCATAGTATGTTAAAATATGAAAATAATTACACAATATATATTTATATTTTAGAAAATACAAGGGAAACAGTGCTTCCACAGCTTCCATGGACGGCACACCACTGCATTGAAGAATCAAACACTAATAATAAATGGTTATTCTGCGTAAAAATATACTTTTTAGGTTAGTTTTCGACTTATGACAAAATGTTGGAAACCTAATCTTCTCATAAGTAGGGGAGCATCTGTTAAAATTGATGAGATAAGGAAATGCAATGCATGTGTGATCTGACAAGGAGAAAGTGCTTCCTGGAAAAACTTATGAAAAACTAACCCTTATTTGTGTTAGGCAAATGAGAAAAAGCTGGAAAAAATCCAAGGCCAGCCTATTGGACAAGCACAAACCTGAGAATAACTATCAATGTTTGGGGATGTTATCCATTTGGCCACTGGCAGAATTTATAGTTATAATAATAATAAATGATGCATACAACTTCTATCTGTTTAGAGTCTAAAGACAATATAAACAATTTATAGTCTAAACTTTAAACTGTAAATTGTTTATATTGTCTTTATAATCAACTCTTGTTATCAATAAAAATAAAAACTTTGCTAAAACTGATGAAATTTGTCACACAGAAATCTACATGATCAATATAATTTTGATTGATATAATATTTAGCTAAAACATTAAGCTATAACTAATTAAAATTTATTAATCCATTATTAGGCTTTTATTAATTACAAAATAAATTTATATTACAACTATTTCCCTCTTCGCTATCATCATCATCGTCGTCATCTAAATTTCCAGAACCTGGCTCAATAAGCATGGGGAAGTCATTCAGAAATGAAGCACCTTGTTTCCTGTTTAATTTTTTAAAAATATTAAAATTAGTTTATTATTATAAATTATCACATAAGCATATTAATAATTTAACAGAACAGAAGCCAGAAAAAATGAGAAGAGAGATACATCAAGAAAGAAATATGTATGAATATAACAGAGTGAAAAAAACAACTGTCCAAAGACCAAAATACAGATTCTAGAATATGATTTATATATACAATAAATCATTGATTTAAACAAATAATTGAAGGAGGAGTATTTGTTATTGCCAAAAATCTGTAAAATTGAACATGTTTTATAAACATATATTAATAACAAACTTAAATATACAAGATGTGTTAAAATATTATAATAATGTATAAGTATGAATGAAATAATAATATAACATTCATGGAATAATTTACACTGATTGACTCGTTGATCCAACCTTTTAATATGCTCTTTCTCTTGTCTGTTAAATTAAGAGTCAACTATATATATATATAATACTATATATATATATATAGTATTATATATAATATAACAACTCTCTATCTCTGTATATATGAAGTATGCAATACCATAACATTGCAAATGCCATTTTTCTCTAAATACATTTTATTGAAGAATTGAATTCTAAACGTAATGTTTTCTGCTGCAAAAAAATATTGTGGAAATAGTGGTGCTGTAATGGCTGTATTTTGAAGCTGAATTTATGTGAAGCCATAATGTTTAAAGAGTCAAAGCATAATTCATGCAGCTTTTGGCACTTGAAACATTACACCTTATATTTACATCATTTTTTTACTGCAGAGAATTTGTAACCTAGTGAGATTTTTACCATATTATTGTAAAATTGAAATGAATTCATTCACCAGAAAAAGTGTTTTTTACCTCTCCTGAAAAGTTGAATTTTGGCATTTACAACATTATGGTATTGTACACTTCATATATTATATATAAAACTTATAAGTGTTTGTGTGTAAAGAAAGAAAATTTGAATTTATAAATAATAAAAACTTTATATTGTCCAATACAGGTATACCTCACCTTATGTCGGTAATTGGTTCCAGGAGAGGCAACATAAGTCGAATTTACTTGTCTCCAAATCTATTTGTCACTAGGCTAAACCATAAATTACCATTCCCGGTTCTGTATTTTATTTATTAATGCATTTTTAAACATGGTTAATACGGATCTATTTTAAGCTTACAAACAAATAAATTTTAGTTTTTAATATAGTACAGAAAAAAGTAATCTAAATTTACGAATGCATGTACTGTAAATACAGTACATACTTGTAAATGTATATATTTTAATATAATTTTATGTGCTTTAAACACTTTTCTAGTGATATTACGACTTCAATATTTGTGGCGAACAGACATAAAGTTGAATAAAATGACTTAAACTTGATTTTTATTTTCCCATGTACTTTTTTGACAAATGACGTATAATCAGGAACAACATAACTCAAAACAATGCAAGTTGAGGTATACCTGTATACTTTTTTGTGTCCATCTGGCTTTCATTCATATTTTCATCACGGACTAAACATATGTATATTTTGAATAATTCTAAAATCTTAAAATTATTTTTCTATATTATATTTTAAAATAAAATAAAATTTTAATAATAAATAAATGTACTTATTAAATACTTACAGTCTTTCTATAAGCGACAGTACATTTTCAGAAGTTTTATTATTTTCAGAAGTTTTATTATTTTCAGATGTTTTATTATTTTCAGATGTTTTATTATTATCTTCTAAACGAGGAAGACTATTGTATGTTCTTAATTGTTTTGCAGAATTTTGTTTCTGTAGTTCATTATTAGTTAGATTTGGCTGCTTTGTAGTTGAACTTGTGATCTACAAACACAATAAAATTTAATAATCTTTTTTTCATTAATATAATATTTTAATTTACTTTCTAACATTTATACTGCAGAGCATTGTCTGTTGTTACAAGTTATTACACTTTTCAACATTTTTATATGGAAATAGTGGAAAAATAAGTAAATTTAATAGAAACTAATATTAGAAACTGGCTATAAACAGGAATTATAAACTCAGTAGCAAAACATTTAATTAAAACTTCAATATTTAATTAATTAAAAATTATCTACATTTGTAGCTTGTTAATGAATCATTAGTCTGATTTTTAAAAAATGAACATGGTCAATCCATTAATGAAGTCATTCCAACATAAATATATTAAAAACAAAATTATTTGGCATCAAACAAAATCAAAAATATCATGACAAAGCATAAGTAATGTTTACTTTTAGAAAACTTTGGTGTCTTGATGAGCCATGAAAACAACTGTGAAGATTGGGCCTTCAGGTTAGATACAACCTATGGTGGCCTCTAGTGCAGTCTAACAAAATATCAAATGGTTTAATATTGAAATAAGTTTTAATAGCATCTGTTTTCCCTTCACTTTTCAGACAAATTAAAAAATAAAAGTAGCTTACAGAAAGGTAATATAATATTTTTATGTTATATTTGATCATATGTTTTTCTGATTTATTTTAAGGCAGCCTGTGCAATATGTTGAATAATAATGCTGAACTTACGCACTTATACAAACTGCAATACAATATGTGGCCTTATGAGATTCCTATGCGACAAAATATAGTCTAGAACAGGGGTGGCCAACAAGTCGATCGCAAAACCAATTTTGGTCGATCGCTCGCAATGTCTTGACTTAATGTATTACACTTGTAAGTTGTAACCGAACGCAACGCGTGAACGAAACGCGCAAACGCAACTGTAGTGATATCGAACCTCCTCGTTCTCCCTCAGATGCGGTTATGTCGGTCCATGTGCAATCCATTTGCGTACAGTTGTAAAAGGGAAATAAGAAATGTAGACAAAGGGTCGTAAAATCGAAAAAAATAAGGGACAGAGAGAGTAGGTCGGGACACGGTAGAGAAAAGAAGGGTGAAGTGGTGGTTCCCGAAAGTGACAACGTTGAGTTTCAATTTTTCTTGTTTAAAATGTAAGTACCTTTTCTTCGTGTTTTAAATTAAATTGTGGCTTTTCTTTTCTATCTAAACTTAGTATGTATTTCACACCTCCCTCCCCCTCGCCACTTAGACCAGGGATGGGCAACGTTTTTCTGTGTAAGGGCCGCATTTCAAAACTTTTGAACTAACGCCGGCCACATACAAGATAAAAGAGGGGGGAAAATGCCGGTAAATCACAATTATTTATTCATATATAATTATAAAATAGAATAGGTATACTTAATTTAGCTTCTAGAACTGATGTAAACGTAATGTATCAAAAATATTTGATTAAATATTAGTCACTGCTAGTTTTAAATTAGTTTCGAGGTGAGTCTGTTAGCCGGTTTCTCGTTTTAATTTTTACTAAATTCATTGCAGGAAAAACTATTCACACACATAAGTTGTAGAAAATAACGTTTGAATTTTTGCTGCATACTTCTTAAGTTAGGAAATTGATATATTTATACACATTTTATGCGAATTGGGCCACGGAATGCCAATCCCTGACTTAGACTATGCCTACGACAACGAGTCGATCGCGACTAGGGAATTTGATCCCGGATCTTATTTTTAATCCCGGGATTTCGGGATTATACTTAGTCAATCCCGGGATCCCGGGATTATTTCGGTATTGAGGGTTAATAAAAAAATAAGAAAATCAGCTCTTTAATCAACAAATCAAAATTTAGACAAAACCAACGTATTTTACAGTATATACCTAGCTAATCTAATCACTCTAACTAATCAGACTTAGAGTCAGACTAACTAGACTTAAAATCACTCGGTCTTCACTCAGACTGTTAATCCCGGTGTCGTGTTAAAGTTATTCTTTTTCAAACATCACTGAGATCTCTTTAAACTTACATAAATTGAAAGAAACCTAAAAATTAACAAAAATCTCTTAACATCGACTAAATAGACGACATTCATGTAACAACCTAGTAAGTAGGTAGTATAGTAAGTTTCTTAGCAGACAGTATTTAAAAATAATATTAATCAGTCACATTTTTCTTAAATATAAAGAAAACTAATGTGATAGGAACATTCTAATTTGAATTTCGAAAAAATGATCTGAGAAACAACAACGCATCCAGTGTCTCATCACCAAGTCTGCTTCTCAATTTGTTGCACATATATGCAGCTGCTGAGAAAGTGCATTCAGGTTCGATGGAAGTTGGAGGAATCGTTAGTAAATACTTATAAGCCCGCTCTAGGTTATAGCTCCGAGGACACGGGGAGGTTGGAAGAAAACAGTCCGGTCGACAGAACGGGATTGTAGGCATAAAGGCTAGCGAACCAAATACGGTAAAATAAGTTAGGGACCGACCTTCCCGCCGCAGACTTCTCCACGGTACGAACTAGGAAATTAACTTTCCAACGGAACATTGTGAACGAACGCCTTGGTCTTGTGCTACATGGACCTAGCTACCACTTCTTCCTCCTGGGTAAAAGAAAAACTTTCTATAACCGACTCAGAAGAACTTTTTCTAGTGTCTGACTCACGTGCCCCTGGGAGGGGTTCTCCATCGTTTGATACGCAAATCACCACCCCCATACGTAAAAAGGCTTTCTCGCATCATCCTGACAGATCGTGGGAAAGGCGAGGGTCGTAACCTTTTCGCCTAAGGTCAACCCACCTGAGCGAGAGGCGTCGGGTCTATATTAACCACACTGGCAAAACAAAATGGCTGACACATTGACAGGTAAAACACACTGAGCATAGTTCTCGACTGTGCCAGAAAATCGATTGGCGCCCGCGAAAATTCAAAAATACAAAAATGAAGTATATTACCAGGTAACCCAGAGAGAACTGCTTGCTTATCATTTTAGTTCAAAATGCAAGAAGTTTTATTCCAAGTAAGCATCGAAAGTCCACTGGGTAAATTTCTGCTGCTTGCTTGGAATAAAATTTCACAAGAAATTTTATTCCAAGCAAGCAGCAGAAATTAACCCATTATTGTATTTTATATTAAAATGATAGGCAAGCAATTCTGTTAAAAGCACTGGCCCTGAACGTTTTGCTTCATGCAGTCTATTTTGCAACTTTTTAAAATGATGCCAATCCCAAAAATCTCGGGATTAGGAAAACTTAATCCCGAAAATTTTGGGACTGAAAAATGGTCGGGATCCCGGGATCCCGATTTTCGAGATCCCGGGATCAAATCCTCTAATCGCAACACATTTTAAAGATAAAAAGATCTTATGTACATAAAAGTTGGCCACCCCTGGTCTAGAAGACTATATTTTGTCGCATAGGGATCTCACAGGGATTCTAATTAAAACAGATTTATTTTCCTTCTTGATAGTGATTGTGTTTGAGGTTACTGGAATAAAATTTAAAAATATCTAACAAAAACATGTAAAAAATTCCTTCTTACTATATATATATATAAATGGTAAATTAATACACAACCAACCATCAACTGTAATAATCAGGCAGATTACAAGCAACAAATATTAAATTTGGAAATTAACCATTGGATGGTTATGTCTAAAAGTTTAAGTGTCTGGAGAAGAGTTGCTTGGAGGTCCGGGTGGCGTAACTGGTCAGTGTACCATATGGTAAGCGGAGGTTGCAGGTTTGACACCCGCACAGGGACAATTCTTTTCTTCCAGATGACACTAAATTCTAAAATCTTAGTTACTACTTTCTTCAATAGTTGATGCCTAATGCCATATTATATAATAATTTCCGAATTTAATATTTGTGGCTTGTAATCTGCTCAATTATTATGGTTGATGGTTGGTTGTGTTGTATATTAATTTATATTTATCGAGTTAATGTGATGTTGTGTTGTTATTATAAATAGTGATAACAAGTAAAATCATCATGAAGTCTGACCCTACTGGAGATAAACACGACCCCCTTTATCTCCCCATCCCGTCAACCTTTAATCACCAAAATTTAATAGCATTGATCCCCTAATACAAAAATCTTCCTGCAAAATTTCAGAAATTTTTGACAAAAGTCACAGGAGTTATCAAGCCTTGAAGTGAGTGAATAAAATTGTGCGTCCCCACATAAACATCCATAAAAAAAAAACCCTGAATTGTTTTCATTTTTCAATGTTTTGAGGTCCTGAGTCCAAAAATGTAAAAATCTTGGGAAATCATACATATTTGATCTAAACCTATTACTAAAATATCGTAGGAAAATAATAGGTTTAGATCAAAGAAGTTTTCTTACTTCAGAAAATAATGTTTGCACAGATTTTTATCTTTGAAAAAATATTATCTATTTTCTTGAACTACAAGTAAATTGTATTGTACTAAGGTGAATTTTCTTCCAAAGACAAGAACCATACAGAAGTGCGTAAAGAAGATTACGCACTTCTGTTTTGGGTCTGATTTGTAGTTATGAGGGAGGAAATCAATGTATATAAATGAGATTCTTGCCTGCATGAGAGAATTTATTATAAGGTAAGATAAATAACTGTAACAAAAAATAGTTTAAAATATTTGTGATTGTATATTTTAAGGAAAAAAAAATTATTGTAAAAATGTTGCCATACAACTGAGGAGGGATTACAAAAGTTTGAAATGCATTTTGTAAAGAATGGCATGACAGAAAAATAAAGTATTTAGGCGAAATAATCACTTTGTGGTTTCTACCTTCAGAAGAAAATTCATCTTAGCAAAATATAATTTATGATTCTACAATCACTAACAACAGTATCTCAATTTTTACTCACTGACTTTAATAATCATTATTTTATTAGTAATTAATATAATTTTGATAAAAATTACAATTTTATACTTACCATATGTTCATGAGGTTTACAGCTCTTCTGTGCTTGGATGTAATTTGGTGTTAAAGGTAGAGAAGTAGCCATTTCATAGGTGTTCCTTTTTTTAAGTTTTGCATCGCTCATTGTGCTCACAATTAAAGATTTCTCTTTTGGAGTAATCAATGAATTAGCAACAAAATAATGGTTTTCAGTTTTATGCTTAACTGAAGATTTAAAATTAGATAACTTTGAAGCATCAGATGACAATTTTTTTGTATTCTCATTTTGCTTCAATTCATGCAATCTGTGCTGAATTTCACTCATGTCATTAAGACCATTTTGTAGTTTATTACTGACTTCATTTTCAGAGTGACGAATAAAACTTTGAGTAGCCATTTTTCTCAATAAATTCTCATTTGGTTTCAAAGCATTCGACTTGAAAGATTTTATGAATTTTTCATCTTTATAGTCATCTTGATAATCGATAGGATGTGAAAATTTATTTAAATTTCCATTCTCTTTTCTTTGGACGGCAATCCCCTTTGAAGGAATTAAATTTTCGGATTTAACATTGGAAGTAAAATGTTTATACGGAATGGGATAATTTTCCTTATTAACAGACTGATGTTGTAATTGTTTATCGTTTCTCAATATGTTATTCATTCTGTATTATTAAAAAACAATCTGGAAAAAGAAATTACTTATCAATAGTTTAATATATAGTTAAAATTCAAAAATTAAATTTTAAATCTGAAATATTTATTAACTTGAAATTATTAATACCATTAAAACTTTGTTAATAAAATAAAAATACAATTTTCTGACAATAATTTTAATATATTAAAGTTTTTCTATGCTCAGACTATATATCATTAGTCTTTTTTTTCCATTAAATTATCACTTTCTAAACACTAAACAATCTCTTTGTAATGGGCCAATCATAAGTTTGGCAGTGTCTTCAATAGAGTAACTGAGTAACCAACTATTCCATTGAATCTTAGAGAATGGCAACACAATATATCTGGCCAGACCATTCATAAAATTTTTGCTTTTTCACACTCTTCAATATGTTTGAATGTGATCATAACTTTTTATCTTTGCCTTCAGTCTAATTTTCCATTTTGGTATTACCTTAGTTTTTCTGCTTGGTTTTCTTATTTCAAATTCTTATCCAATTCTACCACTGCTATACTGTAGATAAGCTAGGTGCACTCTTCCATAGAAGCCAGTTAATCGTTGCAAGTACCTCATTCACATCTTTTGTAATAGTCATCAGATCTTTATTTCGCACTATTTTCAGTTCTAGAAGCCTGTGGATGATTGTGCATGAACCATAATTAACTACATCCACAAACCTGTTACCGGTGTGAAACTCAAATAAAAATGAAAAACAGTTCCTCACAAATGCTTTCAAACCATGAATGGTTCTTCTTCAGGTGAATGGCAAAATTTCCGATGGAATGCAAGTTAAAAAGAACACGATTTGAAATTTGATTCAAATATGTGTTTCTTGATGTCGTCCTACTGGACATGCGCCCTCCATCTGGTAGCAATTGTCAAAAATTATAATCATTATCCATTAGCACTTGTCACACTATGGATAGGGTCAATTCCTTCTTGTGGTTGATACAAGTGTCAGTGAAGCTAGATCTGTAGATACAAATGGCCTCCAACCATCGCTTGTTCTCCAGATGTGGCCTGTACTGCACCTCCTTCATTACTGTTCTGCACCTTGTAGTAATGTCACCTTCAAACTTTATCTTCCTACTGTTGTGGTGTGTATAACATTATCCCATATTGTTAACCTATTAGTCTGCTAACTTTTAAAACTGTTTGTATTAGTAACCTTTATGTTAAGCTACCTTGTAACATTATGAAGCCAACTTATGCCTGTCTACTCTGCACCCATTCAACGTTCACTAATCATACCTTTATAGCGGTTTATTTGTCTTGTATAATTTTAAGTATTATAACACATTTATATTAATACCAACTGATGAGAAACTTTTCCAATAGTTCAAAATGCGTTTTGATTATTCATGTTAATTACTCGTACTTATGTAATTGATTTTTAATGTACACTCCTTTTGTCTTACCAAATGTACAGGTAACCCCCGTATAACACGGCACTTCTATAGCACGGATTCGCTCTAACACGGTTCGAGAATTGGTACCATCCCCCGTATAACACGGCACTTCTATAGCACGGATTCGCTCTAACACGGTTCGAGAATTGGTACCATCCCCCGTATAACACGGTACTTTTATAGCACGGATTCACTCTGGCACGGTTCGAGAAATGGGTAAAACCCTCGTACAACATGAAATGTAATAAATTTTTACATACTTAAGTACTAATAGTNATTCAACAATACAATGCTTCTGTTGGGAATATGCATATACAAATTTATATTCAAACATACAATAGCAATCATTTTTTTCATATGTAGTATAGAAATTTGTAATAAAGTACATAATGCAGTTATAATAAAATATTAATTTTAATTAAATCATAGTATGTTAAAATATGAAAATAATTACACAATATATATTTATATTTTAGAAAATACAAGGGAAACAGTGCTTCCACAGCTTCCATGGACGGCACACCACTGCATTGAAGAATCAAACACTAATAATAAATGGTTATTCTGCGTAAAAATATACTTTTTAGGTTAGTTTTCGACTTATGACAAAATGTTGGAAACCTAATCTTCTCATAAGTAGGGGAGCATCTGTTAAAATTGATGAGATAAGGAAATGCAATGCATGTGTGATCTGACAAGGAGAAAGTGCTTCCTGGAAAAACTTATGAAAAACTAACCCTTATTTGTGTTAGGCAAATGAGAAAAAGCTGGAAAAAATCCAAGGCCAGCCTATTGGACAAGCACAAACCTGAGAATAACTATCAATGTTTGGGGATGTTATCCATTTGGCCACTGGCAGAATTTATAGTTATAATAATAATAAATGATGCATACAACTTCTATCTGTTTAGAGTCTAAAGACAATATAAACAATTTATAGTCTAAACTTTAAACTGTAAATTGTTTATATTGTCTTTATAATCAACTCTTGTTATCAATAAAAATAAAAACTTTGCTAAAACTGATGAAATTTGTCACACAGAAATCTACATGATCAATATAATTTTGATTGATATAATATTTAGCTAAAACATTAAGCTATAACTAATTAAAATTTATTAATCCATTATTAGGCTTTTATTAATTACAAAATAAATTTATATTACAACTATTTCCCTCTTCGCTATCATCATCATCGTCGTCATCTAAATTTCCAGAACCTGGCTCAATAAGCATGGGGAAGTCATTCAGAAATGAAGCACCTTGTTTCCTGTTTAATTTTTTAAAAATATTAAAATTAGTTTATTATTATAAATTATCACATAAGCATATTAATAATTTAACAGAACAGAAGCCAGAAAAAATGAGAAGAGAGATACATCAAGAAAGAAATATGTATGAATATAACAGAGTGAAAAAAACAACTGTCCAAAGACCAAAATACAGATTCTAGAATATGATTTATATATACAATAAATCATTGATTTAAACAAATAATTGAAGGAGGAGTATTTGTTATTGCCAAAAATCTGTAAAATTGAACATGTTTTATAAACATATATTAATAACAAACTTAAATATACAAGATGTGTTAAAATATTATAATAATGTATAAGTATGAATGAAATAATAATATAACATTCATGGAATAATTTACACTGATTGACTCGTTGATCCAACCTTTTAATATGCTCTTTCTCTTGTCTGTTAAATTAAGAGTCAACTATATATATATATAATACTATATATATATATATAGTATTATATATAATATAACAACTCTCTATCTCTGTATATATGAAGTATGCAATACCATAACATTGCAAATGCCATTTTTCTCTAAATACATTTTATTGAAGAATTGAATTCTAAACGTAATGTTTTCTGCTGCAAAAAAATATTGTGGAAATAGTGGTGCTGTAATGGCTGTATTTTGAAGCTGAATTTATGTGAAGCCATAATGTTTAAAGAGTCAAAGCATAATTCATGCAGCTTTTGGCACTTGAAACATTACACCTTATATTTACATCATTTTTTTACTGCAGAGAATTTGTAACCTAGTGAGATTTTTACCATATTATTGTAAAATTGAAATGAATTCATTCACCAGAAAAAGTGTTTTTTACCTCTCCTGAAAAGTTGAATTTTGGCATTTACAACATTATGGTATTGTACACTTCATATATTATATATAAAACTTATAAGTGTTTGTGTGTAAAGAAAGAAAATTTGAATTTATAAATAATAAAAACTTTATATTGTCCAATACAGGTATACCTCACCTTATGTCGGTAATTGGTTCCAGGAGAGGCAACATAAGTCGAATTTACTTGTCTCCAAATCTATTTGTCACTAGGCTAAACCATAAATTACCATTCCCGGTTCTGTATTTTATTTATTAATGCATTTTTAAACATGGTTAATACGGATCTATTTTAAGCTTACAAACAAATAAATTTTAGTTTTTAATATAGTACAGAAAAAAGTAATCTAAATTTACGAATGCATGTACTGTAAATACAGTACATACTTGTAAATGTATATATTTTAATATGATTTTATGTGCTTTAAAC